CATGACCAATCTTCTGGACACTCAACACATGTAATTCCATCTCAAATCGAAACTGTCCCATTTTTTTTCCTGCGCAAAGTCGCGTCACAATCGTCCATGTTGACACAATTGCGGAGCAAAGTTACGGGAAAATAGACTTCTGGCCACACTGCGTCCAATGATCATGCATTTGGGCTGAAAAAGAGCCATCGCACGACGAAAATTTGCCATTAAAATGCTGACCAGATACCACTGAGAATCCCAATTGACCAGTTCCTCGCACACAAGCGCACAATGCACAGAAAACCGTGGCGTCTCCTCATAAATTAATTGTATATCAAAAAGCTCCTCGCCAAATCAATTCACTTCGTCAAACCACAATTTCACTACCACTTCATTAGCATTCGCACTAATTGCTAGGGGACGATTTTTTACGTTTCTTCTAATGCTGGTTGACATATTGTCTGAGCCTTTCTCTCGGCGCATTTCTTCACAGATTCATATCAAACGCGTGGCTTCTGTGCCAAATTTCTCTCGCCATTTTTTGTACGGGTGGAATTTTGGGAGATTAATTGATATGCGGGCCTTAAGTATTCGGCAGAAATGCTTAATACTCTTGGTAAGAGGCTCACCGCTCGCTTCCTAGATTATAGTTACGAATCTATTGCACGGATAAATACGCGGAAGTTTTAACAATAATTTTTACCGTCTTGCGATTTCAGTGAATAAATACTTGAAATCTTTGATGAAATTCCAAAATTTGCATTTCGTACAAAAGAGAAATGACGGAAATGACTAACTTTAAAATCCTGATTGTTTTCGTATAATTGCATTCTAAAATAAAATCATGTTAAAGAGAAGGTAGAGCTTTGGTGCACTACAATTCAATTCAAATATTGGGCATCAGCACTTAAAACTTTAATTTTGCTTCGTCATCGCCAAATGTCTTCCTGTTTCAGGAAAAATTCTATGGCATTCGCTATGATATTTCGATCGCTTTCCACCCAAAAACACGAATAGGTTCGTTTAAGCACACAACAGCTGAGGCACAACAAACTGTAGCATGTGAGCGAGAAGACTACAATTCAATTCCACTATAAGTTTTATTGGGAGGTTTTACAGGCGCTGGACGGTAATTACCGTCATCGGCTTAATGACTTTCTCCTCCCCTGAAATCCATTCCAGCGCCAATAAAATGTGTCACTGCGACGAATTACCGTGGAAAGTCTATCTCTCTCTCTCGTGGGGAAAAAGCTCACAATCTTTGGGACTTCTTGCATGATTTATCCACATTTCGCATCTTCAGTGTTCATTGTCTTGCGCTTTCTGGACGCGATTTATCTCCACTTTTATTCCGTTTCACCTTCTCTTCCTTTTCAATCAATTTCTCAACATTTTTTCCACTCCTCGCCAATGGACATGCTTTCTTGGGGCTTTTTCTCGTATTTGGCACGATATTAGCTCGGAGTCTCCTTCTGTGTGTTTTGCACATTTCTCAATTTTAAAATTGATTGACAAAATGCACGGCAATTTGGACGTTTTGCCAACACTAATTCACGAAAATTAACGACCTCGTGCTCTTTTTGCTGGGCTCAACACACACGGGCATACCATTAGCACCAAATATAGACGCGGATCTCGGTGCGCGGCGCAAATCCTTCAAATGAGATCAGGCGAAGGAGCAGCAGAGGTCACATGGACGCGGAGTGCTGATGGTATTTGCGGCGACGCGAGAGGCAGAGAAATTATGAGCATTCGACTAAAAGAAGAAATTAATCACTTGATTAATGAAACAGTGAATATGATTTAATTTTTCCGCTATCGTAATTAATTATCGGAATTGAACTTGATTAATACAGCGCATTGGCTAGAATAGCAGGTATCATGTGGTCTTTCAAATTTGAATTATGTCTCTGAATCAACATATTATCAATTACCATGTTGGCAGTGTGAGCAAATATAGCATCTCTGATGAATCTTCATGGGTTACAGTGAAATTCCACAAAGCGCGGCTCCTTCAAATGCTCACCGTGTCTATCAGAGATGAGAATTGGCGTTCGGTGGGAAATCAAGTGACGCCACGACGGAGGGTGTCTCTCGGGCCTAAAGGCCTCCGTGGAGTCAGTGGACAATTGATCAGCCCCCTTTCGAGATAATCAAGTTTAATTACTCTGTATTTTGTCATGGCTCTCGACTTGAGCAATTTTTCCACAGAAACTCGCGGGCGCTTTTTGTCCGCGCTCTTGCCATTGCCGAGGAGCAAGTCAGCCTCCCATTCTCGTCTCCCCAATCAACATATCAATGATTCGAGGTGGAATTTATCAAATATGGGATCGTAATGCGAATATATTTAGTCTTTCATCAGCCATCGCGCATCATCCCGCGGTCCTCATTACGATGGCCGTTTTTCAGCGCGCATTCTGCATGCCTCAAAAAGTGCACACACTCTGCGTAATTATACCACATGGGCGCAAAAATCGCGTCCGACCAGTAGCGAAGGTCTCCGCTTTTTCTCTCCTCCCGTGCGCGCCCCGCGCTCTTTTTTCCCGGGCGTCCGCGGCCTCCCCCTCGAGACTCTCCGGAACAATGGGGCTGCCCATGGCCCGTTTTGGCGGAGTGCCGGACGCGGCCGCGGAGTTATGCCTCGACCATCATGAATATTCAAAGGGTGTGCGACATGCATTGAAAACCCGTAATTATGTCGAATGGAATTGCACGAATGGAAATGATGGGCGAGATGATGAAATGTGGTAGTGGCAGAAGGAAAGCAAGCACATTGGTCATTTTCTTGCCCCCTTTTCTACCCACCGCGCGCCCCGCCGGATGGGACTCCTTCGGTGCATGACGGCGAAGCTATGCCGCGGCCAAAATGGCGATTACATTCCCCGCATTCCGACATACCGTGGCCGGAGAGATGATTTTTCACTTGAAAAATTCTACAATGCATGATGAAATTCCCAAATGCCACGCACTAATGACTCTCCCGGAGACAAGAGCTGCGCACCAGTCTCAAATTAGACGCCCGAGAGTCCTTCGCTGCAGTTCTTCACGTTGGGCTTCTCAGAAGTCGCCACTCCAGCCGTCCTCGGCCATCACGACTTCTTAATTACACTCGCAGCAGTGACAGAGGGCTTCGCGGAGGGTAGACACCCGCCCGAGGGGCGCGCTGTCCTGGGAACGGAAAACAGTCACCCAACGAACAGACATTTGAATGGGGCAAAGAATTTTGTCTAGAATATATTCAAACATTGAAATATGTGCAAAAGAAGTCATATTTACGGGAATGTTCCCACCTTTTTGAACAACACTTGAGGAAAGATTTATTGCATATCCCGAGATTTATTTAAAACATTTTTTTGACAAATTCTAAATATCGAAAAACAAACTATTATGGCGTGAAACCGCGTAAAACATAAAAAAATATGTTGTAAACTTGAAAATGTTGAGTTTCATTTAACGAACATGAAATTCTTTGTCAAGAAGAATTATTTGTAATAAAAGAAGATTGTTTAGGTGAAATTTTAAGATTAATAAAAGACTCAATCATGGAAGTCTTCTATTTTCCAGAAAGGAAACATGATTGTAATGATTTCCAAGATCATTTAGTTAAAAAATCTGTATTGAAATCCATTTCAGTCCAGATTTCCATTCCATTTCTCAAAGGATTTTTAATGCACAATCATTTTAGCTCTATTTTTATTTTTCAACAAAGTTTCGTTTACTACATTGATCACCAGTTTATCATTCTCAGGAATGAAAGAGCGTAGAATATGTAAGTTTAGGAGAAGTTCCTATATACTTGGAAAGATGTTTGGAGAGTAGAGAAATTTAGAGAAGAATTAATGTGATCTCTGAGCATTTGCCATTGAAGCAAAGTATAAGAAGACCTATGCAATATTGCTATAATAACATTATTACTATAATTGCTTCAGTGTTGCAAGAGGACAGCAAATCGCATAGAATATGTCACGAACACACCTTCTCGAGAGCCTTCAATGAAAATATTGATGAGCGAAGAAGTAATTCAGAACGAGCGTGGCGAGACAATTGAATGAATAAAAGCCACTCATTCAATTCATTTTGATAGGTTTGTGAACGCATCGAGGAATGTATTTAAGAGGCCCCATATAAAAATCTAATGGTTTTATTTAGTATTTTATTGTTATTATTTTCGGGACACTTATCGTTATGCAAATTCGGTGTTTTATTTCACAACATTTATCTTATATTTTTATGTTCATAATCATCTGTCAAGGAATATCGCATTTTAACGCTTGTAGCTATAACACTGGCGAATTGCTCGCGAGATTCTCTCTCTTTGGGGCGCTCTTGACGCCTGATGGATTCCCACCTACAAAAGCCCCTCTCGTGTGGAAGGTCACGCTTTCTGCACGATCGCCTCACGAGTGTCGTAGGAGTTCTTATCACGACCACTTGAGAGGTGAGTTGAGAGCCAAAGACCTGTTCTGGAGGCGCGCTGGGGCGCTCAGAGTCCGGAAAACCACCAACATTGTCGCGAATTGATGTCAATGGCGATGAAGTGGTCGTAAAATACCGCTCAAGTCTGATAATTTCCCCATCGGAGAGATTTTTGACTGCGAAGTTGCGAGAAATTTGTCGTATTCGCATTGAAAATGTGAAATGGCCGGACTTCATCGCACATGAACTATGAAGAACACACATTGCGTTTTTCAATAAACACTTAAAACGCATGACTTCTTAGGAAATGTAATTAGAAAACTTTTTCGATGCTCATCGAAACCGTTAGTTTTATGCGAAAGGATTGCAATAGAATAATAATTAAGATAATTAATATATATGATCCTTGGATCGCTTAGAACAGATTTTTTTTCTGTTCCCTTGATGTGAAATTTCTTTAGTGATTGGTATGGACAATAAAGTCGTAATTTTTTTTTAAATCACTTTAAGCCTGAAGAACGCATACTCTTGTATCTACGCAAAAATGATTTTGATGAAAAATTTCTCAATCGTTAATTTTGTGATATTCTGGCGCCATTTATTTCGTCTAAAAATGTTCCTTTGATTGCTATTAACGCCTCTTGCGGCGAAAGGCAGCATAATCCGCGAACTGCTGTTTTGTATAACAGTCGAGTTGACATACTTTTTGTTTTCCTTATTTGCTTTGGTGGAAACACCGCTCTTTTATCTATTTAGTGCTGGATGACGTGCATCGAGAGGCTGTAAATCAGAATCTAGAAGAGTTTGTGAAGATGACCAGGAATATTCTAGTGACTGGCGGCACAGGACTCGTAGGAAAAGCCATTGAAAGTGTCGCCTTGGAGAAGGCTTCGCAGGATGATAACTTTCTATTTCTCAGCTCTAAACACTGCGATTTAACGTGAGGTTCCTCGAGGATTATCAGGAGAATGCCAGGAGTCTGATTTGGTGTTTTTGCAGGAAACTCGAGGAAACGCGGCGTGTTTTCGAGGAGTTTCGACCAACTCATGTCATCCACTTGGCAGCAATGGTCGGAGGACTTTTTCACAACATGAACAATAATCTTGACTTCCTGGTGAGGATAATCTCATCCCTGACAGCCTGCTGGTGACTAATTCCTAGGATTTTCTTCTAATAGCGCAAAAATATGCAAATCAACGACAATGTGCTTCTACTTTGCCACGAGTTCAATGTTAAGAAGGTCGTTTCTTGTCTCTCAACTTGCATCTTTCCGGACAAGACTAGCTATCCTATTGATGAGACGATGGTCCACAATGGGCCTCCGCACGACTCCAACTATGGCTACAGTTATGCCAAGAGGCTGATCGACATCACCAACAGAGCGTATCACGAGCAGTTCGGCCACATCTTCACATCCGTGATTCCGTGCAATGTTTTCGGGCCACACGATAACTTCACGCCTGGCGTGAGCCACGTGATCCCGGGCATGATCCATCGGCTGTATGAGACCATCCGAAGTGCGGACATTCCGGAGGCTGAGAAAGTATTCACGGTGTTCGGAAGTGGGCGGCCTTTGAGGCAGTTCATTTACTCCCTGGATCTAGCTCGACTCTTCCTCTGGACGCTGGATAATTACGATAGCGTTGATCCGCTGGTGCTGTCTGTAGACGAGACTGATGAGGTGTCTATCAAAGAAGTGGCGGAAGCCATTGCGAGTGCCTTTGAATTCAAGGGGAAGATCGAATTCGACACCACAAAAGCCGATGGGCAGTTCAAGAAGACGGCGTCCAACAAGAAGCTCCGCAGCCTCGTGCCTGACTTCCAGTTCACGCCCTTCCACGAGGCGATCAGAACCTCGGTGACGTGGTATAAGGAGAACTACGAGAATGCCAGGAAGTGAATAGTATATTTCCCAACAGAGAGACACCGAAAATAATGTACAGAAAAACCCTTGAATTGGAATAAAATAATCACAGATCCTCAGTTTGGCTTAATTCTCAGCTGCCAGCTTCAATGCCCTGCGTGCCATGATCCAGAAGTACAGTGGCGGACAGAAGTAGCGCAGGAGATGAGCAATCCTGGGTGTGACCGGTGCCAGAATCACATCTTTGTCATCTCTGAGGATGCACTTCAGGATTTCGCCCGCCATATCGTCTGGATTCGCTCCAGCCGCCGTCGTGGCATCCATCTTCCCGTACGACGCTCCGCTGCCTGTCAAGGCGTTCACGCTGAGCGCTGTGTTGATGTATCCTGGACTGATCATCGTCACGCGCACACCTTGATCGTCCACTTCGGCACGAAGGGAGTCGCCAAAGGCCTGCAGGGCGTGCTTGCTGGCCGCGTAAGCGGAGCGCTGAGGGATGGCGAATTTCCCCTGGACGCTGGACACGAACACGATGCGTCCCTCCTGGCGTTTGATCATGTGCGGCAGGATGGCCTTTGTCAGCGCCACGGAACCGAAGTAATTCACCAGCATCACTTTAATGTCCACATCGATGGTCGTCGCGAGCGCCGTGGAGCGTACGCTAATGCCGCCATTGTTCACCAGGATGTCAATCTTGCCGAAGATGTTGAGGATGCCCGTCACTTTCTCGGGCAAACCGTTCACGTCAGTGAGGTCCAGAGGCACTACGACCGGAGGATGAGTCGGCGTTCGCTGTTGATTGAGAAACAACATGAGATTCATCTTATCACAGCCTCTCAATGCATCGCATCGCTATTGACAATGCGTGAGGCAACAATTGATAAGAGCCAAACTGGCCTACATTCCACAGAGATTTCACACTCACAGAGTAGCACTCCAGCAGATCCTTCCGGACACGCTCCAGTTCGTCCTTGCGCCTGGCCGAGAGCACCACCTTGCAGCCTGCCATGTAGAACACATGCGCGAGACTTTCCCCCAGCCCGGAACTGGCGCCCGTGATAAGAACCACCTGAGGATTAGGGGATTAAATCACGCCGCTGCTTATCATCAAAGTGAATTCAAACGATACCTTTCCCTGGAGTGTCTCGCGAGCCTTCTGCTCCCGCATTCGCAGCACTATCTGGTAAATGAAGTACGGAATCGGAAGACACATCCATCCCAGCAGCTTCCACACGCTGAAGGATCTTTCACTCACGATCCCTTCCCTCATTTTGGGGCTCTTTTCTGGAGCGCACAGCCACAAAAGAGTCAGACGTTCACAACCTCACTTTGCACTGACGGGCCGTCAAGAAATCGATGAACTCTCGCCGCGATCAGCGCCACTCGTGGCCAATAGATGAGTGTCAGGGGAAGAATTGTTGGAATTGTTCGCTCTCTGCAGCATCCACATTTACTTCATTTTTCTCCGCGAAAGTGTGTGGATTTGCTGGATTCGAGGTGGTGCCGCTCAAGATCAGTCACTCGTCCGTGGTATCGCGTTATGATTTAAGTGTTCACTGGTAAAGAAGCCCCATGGCGAAGCGAGGAAAAGTGCTCATACCGGCTCTGCGACGCAGTGATAACAATGAAGAGGAATCCAACACAGTTTCAGAGGTTTGTTTGCCTATAAATCACTCTTTTGACCTATCAGCTCTGATACTCTATGCAATTCGCAACCACAAGCGACCCAGGGATGAAAATCCACCAGACAAACTGGGTGGATTGCGGAGGAAAAGCCTCCGGAAGAGCATTACGCAAAGGGCAAAGTCCTTTCCTCCTTGCCAATGAACTTCCTTTGTTTAACAATCCTTTTATTGGGATTTTCCTGGCTTTTCTTGAGCCATTTCCTGCCAAAGAGCATCACGATTTAGTATTGAGTTTCCTGCAATTCCTCTTGACTTTTCTTTTGGTAGCAGAAAATCTTAACACAAATTTCTGGGCACAATTCAAAGGGTTCGTCATTTTGCGCTCTAAAGTCCCGTTTCGGAAATATTGGCAATTGTATTTTTCTTTATCTTTCCTACAATTATCAAAAATAATTGAGAGACTTTAAAGATCAGTTAGTTTGTGAACATTTCTGCAAATCAGAGGAGAATTATATTATAAAAAAAAACCATATTTCTCCAAGTGTTCTTCAAGAAATTGCCTAACCATCTATAATATTCTTGTGTGATTTGGTTCAAAAGGCTAGACAAAAAGACGCAAAATGATTATAATTCAGCTTAGTCACTGAAGCTTCTATAAAAGGTTGGTTCATTAATTCATTCTTTACTTCATATTAAGTCTTTTCATGACTGTCATTGAATAAATCCTTCCGTGTTCTGCATTTACCTTTAGGCAAATTATTCATTTCTTATATGTTCTCAGGGGAATAAATTTAGGTATATCCTGTGATCTGAAGGGCTAAGAATTATTGATTGGCACACTCGTAAGAGCGCAAGACACAAAGGAAATGTGTAGGGAAAATTTCAAATTAAGCTGTAAAGCTTGATTAACTGGTCAATATTGATCCATTCATGTATCTTCAGGTAAAAGCAATTTCCTCTTCAGCCACCAATTTTCATTAGTCATGATTTCCTCAGTTTCAACAGGCGATTTCATACATAATAGAGTAATTTGGCACTCAACATGCGAAATGACGAGCCCCTGAACGCAGATCTCTGCGTGAATTGTAAATATTGAGGGATGTGAGTTCTTAATGGCACAATATTAGCATTCTTATTAAAGCGTAATGCAAATTCTCTGAATTCCCCCTGACTTTACCCTGAGAAAAGCGCTGCTTTCCTAGCAATGTGTCAACTTGCAGCTGAGGAGGAATTCTCAGCGCGGAATTTTTCTTATCTGGGGAAACAAAGCGCGTCAGTTGATTGAGAAAAGGTGTACAAATGCGCGCGTCTCATTCAGAAAATCGCACACAGAGTAATCTCATCTAAATCTCCTTGAGTGGTGTAATTCAAGCGCAAAACGCTTCATTGGACGCGAAGAATTTGCGGATATTTCTTTGGCTCAGAGAGTAACTGAGTTTTTTTTTTTGGTTTGTGCGTCTTCAATTGTGTCCCACGCAAATTGAAAAATTCTGTCATTACACTGCCTTAAGCCATGATTTCTGGGAGGATGAAATGTTACGGTTCTATTTGGGTCACGAGTGATGTGCGATCAAGCCTGAGAGATTATTCCTTTTGGGGCCAATTGACACCCTCAAATGGTGTACGGAGGATTAGAATTTGCCCTCGCCTCGGTGTTTGAGTGGTGACCGTTAGTCAATTTGCAGCTCGAAGCTGTCTGGCTGTTCCTTTAATTAATTTGCGCAGCCACAAGATATACGAGTGCGGCGGAGTCGCTCAAATGGTCAAACACGAACGCTGCGGTCATGATTCATCGGCGCACAGCACCTGATTCTGCGGCTCGAGAGCGCGTGTTTGGGCAAGAGAAGCCATTCAATCATTTTATACACATTATATTGTAATTTATTGAGTCACTTGCGCATATTGATGAAGAACTGTTTCTCATGTCTCGCGAGACACCCCCACAAATATTTGACGCGCTCCTCTTGAGCGGCTGAAAGTACATTAATCTCTCTCTTCTGGGTTGTGTGTCGAGATGAGACAAAGGCGCGCACAAGAGATGGCGACGCGTCTTGAGGCGAGAGATTGAGGAAAGGAAACTGGTCGTTTCCATATTCGGGAGCTTCACACGAGACTTGAAGCGGTGTTTAACATTTAATGGGCCGCAACTATTCGACAAGTGGTGTGTTCTGGGTGAGATTGTAAGGTCAAGGATCGTCGATGGAATCACAATAGAATCTCCTCTTTGTGGCTGAGACGCACACTCCCAATTGCGCGAATCTGGCATTGGATATGATTTCTCATTAGCTGCTGAAGGACACTCAAACCATGATTACAATTGATTGTTGTGTTGTCTCTGGTTTTGGCTTGTAGCAATCGATCAACGATGTCTTCCGCTGCTTCATCTGCATGGAGAAGCTGCAGGAGGCGCATCTCTGTCCGCACTGCTCGAAGCTCTGCTGCTACGTGTGCATCTCGCGATGGTTAACGGAGCAGAGACGCCAGTGTCCACACTGTCGGGCTCCGCTTCACGTGAACGAGCTGGTCAATTGCCGGTGGTTCGAGGAAGTCGCCGTTCAAGTGGAGAATCTCCAGCAGGTGAGAATAACAGAGTAGAAGTCACGACTTTTTCATGTCCATTTGCGGTGGGAACAAGCAAAGAACGGCCCAATCGAGGTGTTCGTAAACCATTGTCATTGAAAATACTTGATTATAATGTTACAAAATAAAGAATTTACCCCTAGAATTGATTACTAAAATATTTCCCTAATCATGAAATGATGTAATTTTTTACTCAAGAATGCCAAATTTAACTGTCTATATAATCAAGTACTCGAACACCTTGACTGAACCACTTTGTAATTGGCATATTAAAGAATTCCCATGACCTTGTTTACCACGTTTTGATGTGTTCTTGTCTCGCCACTTCCTTGTAGATCTGCACCAACATCCAATCGAACAGTCTGTGCAAGAACAACGAGCAGGATCAGTGCCAGACGCACCATGAGAAGCTCAGCGTCTATTGCTGGACATGCAAGACGTGCATTTGCCACCAGTGTGCGCTGTTCGGCGGCACTCACTCGGGGCACACGTTCAAGCAGCTGGAGTTGGTGTATGAGACACACATTGCGCAGGTGAAGGAGGAGGTGTCGCAGCTGAAGAGTCGTCTCGTGGAGCTGATCAACTTTGTCCACGATGTCGACATGAATATGGAGATTGTGTGCTCGTCGAAAGACGAGAAGGTGAAGGAAATTCGTAATGCGGTGGAGGCGATGATCACGCGGCTGGATCAGCAGCTCAAGGGAAAGTTGATCACGCTGATGAGGCAGAAGCGATCCCTCACGCAGGAGACGGAACAGTTGGAGCGTCTGCTGAAGGAGACCGAGCATCAGTTGAGCACATGTTCGCGCTCGCAGCTGATCATGAAGAGTCCGGAGTTGTTGAAGATCATTCATCAGGTGCGCATCAAGCCAATGTCCAGCTACGTCACGGCATCGATGCCGGCAGATTTCACCAGTGAAATGGTGCCGATGTACGACTCGTGTTCCTTCGTCCTGGATAAGTTCGCCAGTCTGCAGCAGAAGGGATTGCCCGTGTACTCGCAGCCGCTAAAGGTGAACGGCCTGTGCTGGCGCCTGAAGGTCTACCCATTCGGGAACGGCGTGGTGCGCGGAGAATATCTCAGCGTCTTCCTGGAACTCACTGCCGGTCATCCTGGAAGCAATAAGTACGAGTATCGCATCCAAATGCTGCACGACGTCAACGCGTCGAAGGAGATCTCGAGAGAGTTCGTGTCGGATTTCGAGATTGGCGAGTGTTGGGGCTACAATCGCTTCTTCCGGCTGGATCTGCTGGCCACAGAGGGCTACTGGAATGTCACCGCTGACACTCTCAATTTGCGCTTCCAAGTGCGTCCGTCTACTTTCTATCAGCGCTGCCGCGATCAGACGTGGTACATTAATCAGCTGATGCAGCAGCAGAAGCAGCACGTGCTGCAGATCAAGGATCTCACTGAGAAGCTGGACAAAGAGCGTGGCAAGCAGAGAGGCAGTGTGTCACAGAACATGGCCAAGATTGACTCGGCGTGTCGCGTTGTCTCGGCTGGCAGTGATCTCCTGGACACGCTGTGCAATGAAGTGGGCAAAGCCAGTGGTCAGAGCAAAGAGGAGAGCCCCAAGACATCGCCAGACGATGTGGATAACGATAAGATCTTCACTGAGATTCTCAAGTGCCTCAATGGAGCTGAGAGTACAAGTCTCACAGCTTCCGGATCCACCAGTGTCATCAAGTCCAGTGCCATTGAAGCGTCAAGCAGTGATGCAGCGAAGAAGCCTCTGTCGCTCTCTCTGTCGTCGCCGAATCTGTGCGACAGGACGTTCTCGGAGAGCTCAGATTCGGAGGAGGAGGAGGCGAAGGAGAGCAAGAAGACGCCCATGTCAGAGGACACGAGCTCGATTGAGGAGAACGATGTGGACGAGGAGCCGATCTCGGGGGAGAATGACGTGGAGTATGCAGAGTTCTCGATGGCTGTTCTCGCTCCCAATTCCCAGGGCGCGACTGCCAATGGAAGTGGCGCCAATGGATCGAGTATCGATGAGGAGTTGATTCTGCTCTCGCTGTTTGACGATTCATCATCCTCAGCCAGATCCCTCGAGAATGGATCTTCGACCACGCAGTCAAGTGAGTGTCTCTTGTTTAATCATTTTTAAGGTCGCTTTAAGCTGTTATTAATTGTTAACTTGTGTTTCTTTGCAAAAAAAATCGCAAAATCTGTTTAAAAATTATAATTTGTGTCACTGGTAAAGTGAGGTTCAGGGAGGATTTTGATTGGAATCTATTCTTTGCAGCCACCAGAAGTTCCTACAGACAACCAATCACCTCAGCTAGCGTGCTGGAGACACTCCTGGAGCCGCCGAAGATGAGTTCTGGTCCGCTGGCCAGCAACTTGGTCATGAGTGTGCGGTCGAATGATGCTGAATCGAAGCCGATGCGAGGATTTCGTCGAAACAACAGAGCTTTCGTCGGTTTGGAATCCACCGAAGGAGGAGCGGCAGCTGATTTGTCAAATGTAAGTCTTCTTGCTTGTCTTGAAAGTAGTTTAGAGGTAAATCTGGTTGTTCTTTAGATTAGATATAGTAACGTAGATAATGTGCTGGTCCTCTAGTTTCCTCTTCCCTCTTTCACTGTGTATTTGTGTTTCCCTTTCGCGGATCATGTCACCTTTTCGATTTCTCAGGACGCTAAGGTGAAGAAGCACAACTTTCATCAGCTCGTGAGGCGCATCAGGCAGACGGACGTGATGAACGGTGAGCGCAAAGTGCGGCCGAATTGCCACATTGATTTGTCGCTGAGCAATTATCGCGGTTTGATGAGGAAACAGCCGAATGGCACGGACGGTGGACATCAGATGGGAAGTGTGTCCTCCGCGTCGCCGTATTGTGGCTCATCTAAGTTAATTTCGAAAGGCCGAACGAGTTTTAGTGGGGGGAAATTGAATTCGCCATCGAGCGGTCGCTTCAATGGGGACAATAGTAATTTGTTTATGAGGACGAATGGATTGGACGGGATGAAATTGCCCTTTTCTGCGGCCGGGGGAACTTCCGTGGTGGACAATAAATCGCCCAATTTGTCCTTCTCCGTGGAGTTTCTCACTCCACGGCCCAGCACATCAGCAGCACTGCCAGGTGGTGTGAAGAGGAAGCCGACGAAGAATCCGCCGCTGTCGCTGACATGCGGCGAGGATTCGTCGCCGCGCAGCAGAAATTGGAATTCAACTGATCTCAGGGAGGTGACGCCAGTGGACAGAGATCCCTTCTTCTTCCATCAGGTTTGTCTCTGCGCTCATCTGCATGCCATTCACACTCACCCACTATGTTTCTCTCTCTCCCCCCACGCTCTTCCGCCTGTTGATGTTGTGCAGGAGAATGAACTGTTGAATGTTGAGATTGAGGACGTTGATCAACTGCCAGGGTCTCAGGCGCCGCAGCAGGACAACCGCGCTGGACCGGAGGATGCGAGTCCTCGAGCTGCAGCACTGCTGAAGCGTAGAAGGCATGTTTATTAGATACTTTACTGATGAATCGTATCATTTTGTGACTAGACGACTAGAGAATGCCATAGAATTCAAGGACCAGATTACTTTTCCTATGACAAATGATTAATAGTTATTTTTAATTTAGTTATTTTGGTGGACACTTTCGAAGAATCCAAAGTTCAAAGCTTCAAATTGACTGTTATTGGAAAATCCCTGATGTAAAAATTGCTTTTAATTGCTCTCTAAGTGTGTTTATTACATAAATAGCCGTGTATAATAATTCACACGTGGAAAATGTGATTCGTAGAAGAGAATTGTGGAAATGTGTTATCAAATAGTCAATTAGACAATTTTATCTGCAATCAATATTTTGTAGTGAGACATGAATGACTATTTGATATTGATTCATTCACTCTGTCATTATCAAGTGTTATTTTGGGGAAATTTTTCCAATGCACTTCAATGTGTCCACACTTTTCGTCAATTGCCGAGTGTGAGAGAGAGTTTAAAGACCTCGAGTAAATATTTGCGGAATGTCTTTTGGGGATGTTTGCCGAATTGTCTCTGAGAGTCAGGTGGTGTCGACTTCCTAAACAAGGCGTCATTCTTCTCTTTTCCAGGTCAGTGGAGAGGCCAAATTCGTCATAGAGTAATTATCAACGTTGGCGAGGATCGATACTATTGGAGGTGAAATTTACGATGAGAAGGATTGATACAATGTCACAAAAGGCACACACGCGCGTCACGTGAGTTTACATATGTAGAAAATTTGGAGTGTCGCTTATGTAAGGATTAGGAGAGAGTTCATTGATTGATTGATTGCGGATGGCCAAGAACCGCCCTCGCGCGGACAATGAATTGAGAGGAGAACAATTGCGGTCCAGTGTTTTTTTTTATTATACATACAATTGATAAAGGAGGATATTTGATGAGGCGGAAGGAAGAAAAACATACATTTTAAATTAATTTTTTCTCTTTACGATATTGATTACATTGTACGTTTATATCTAAAAACTATGTCACAGACACACACACATCCATGTATTGATATTTGATAAAGACTTTGCGCCCTCTTTTACTCGTCACTTTGCTATGAAGTTGAAGTTGTAAAAGGAAGTATTTTGAAATAGTGAATTTGTGATATTGAATGATGAAAATTTATAATTTACACAGCAAATAGAGAGAATTTGATGAGTAACTGTGAATGGAGAGATGGTTTTCTTTTTTTTTTCACTTTCCATGGAAGGAGGCGATAGAACTCACTTTCAGGTTTAGAGTTTCACTAGAGGGATGTGGAAAATAGAGTTGGTTGGTCGAGAGACAACAGAAGAACCTTTTGCTTACATTAATTATATTTTTAATTGGTTGTTTAATAGCCTTTTAGAAGCAGAGGATGCACTCTCTGTTGTGCAAACTACACACAAGAAATGTTTCACATTTACCGGAAATTGATTCATGTCTCTTTCATGTCATTTTCTTTACACAGACAGGCGATGGCGGAACAATTGCGCGCAGCATCGATTCATGTATTAGCGAAATACCCAATAGATTAATATGCTATTTTAGGACTTCTGAGGCCTGTATTGGAGTCGAAAAGTATTCTTTTTTCGATATGTCGCATTACAGTTATGTGCTGCGCGCAATTGTGCCGCCGCGCGCTGTTACATTTAGTTGAGAGGTCAGTAATCGCGGCTGAGCTGCAGGACGTTAATGGACTTGCCATGGCGCACCTCGTCGGCAATCTTCTGCCAGCGGTCGAGATTCTGCTGACACATGTTCAGCAGCGGCTGCGTGTCGGGCAGCAGATGCTGCAGCAGAGAGTAGCACGGGATGCAGATGCCCGTGATGAAGCCCACCTGTGAGTTGGCTTGTTCATCGGGCTTGTTGCGGTCCATCATGGCCATGGGTTGGCGGCCGACGGCGCGCTCGGCGTCGCCCTGCTGGTAGAACTCCTCGAAGATCACCTTCACGGTCTCCACTTGGATGTCCCAGGGCTTGGCGCTGGCGGACAAATCGCTGGCCGTCATGGCGATGGCTTGGATGAGCAGGCGGTGCTCCAGGAGGCTCCACGAGAAGCTGTCCTCGGCCACGAGCTGCGCCAGCTTGGCCTTGTTGGGGAAGAAGAGCGCCAGGTCGGTGGCCAGGATGCAGTGCTTCACCAGGCCCAGCACTTGCTTGTACTCGCTGTTGCTCAGCTTGCCAAAGATGTTGTGGCCCTCCTGCTGCAGGATGGCCACGGTCTGGTTGAAGTGGTGGTGCTCCATCGTGGATGTGCTGTACATGGCGGCCAGCGGCGACTCCGTGTCCAGCATGAACTTGTTGTTCTTCCCGCGGTGGTCTAGATCGTGGCAGAGACTGCCGATGAACAGCGCCAGGCACTGCAAAGGAAAGCATTGTTTAATACCCTGTCTCACCTCATCCGCAAAAGTACTCACTTCTGTGGACTTGAAGACGCCGTTCGAGCGCTTCAGGATGCTGTACATCGTGTTGGCCACGGAGAAGCCGTGCGTCCAGTTGTGGTACGGCACGCGGCGGTAGTTCTTCTTCACGGTCAGCGTGAACCGGATGAGACTCATCTTGTCGAAGCGGCTCAGGCCGAAGAGATCCGTGAACATGGTGATGGCGAACTGCACTTTGTGGAAATCGTCGAACTCAAACGCGCTGAAGTAGAAGTTCTGCAGTACCTCGATCGGCGGCGCCTCCTGGTCGTCGATGCAGTTGCCCACTTCCTCCTCTGTACAGGTGTTGTGGTAACTCAGCACCTCCAGCGCCACGCGGTACTTCTGCTCCGAGCGCCGAATCTTGTCATACAGCTTGGCGTGGTGCAGCGCTAGGCCGCAGTACACGGCGAACGTCTCGAAGGCCTCCTCGTCCTCCTTGGTGAAGTAGCCCGAGTGCTTGTTCACCATCTGCACCACACCGATCACGTTGCCGCGGATAAAGATTGGCATGCAGAGGATGGACTCTGTGCGATAGCCTGTCAGCTGGTCGATGGAGCGATTGAAGCGCTCGTCCGCATATGCGTCCGTGATGTTGAGAATCTCCCCAGTCAGCGCCACTTGGCCGGCGATTCCTGTGCCCAGCGGAAAGCGGATCTCCTTGGGTGTGCTGGGCGGCCGCGGCTCTTCGGCGCCGCTGTCCGGCTTGCTGCCGGTGTTGCCCACGTCGAAGATAGTGGCGTAGAGCTCCTTGCTCTTGGCGTCTACGAGGAAGAGAGACGCCCTGTCGGCGTCCACGAGACGCTGTGCGAAATTCATCACCTTCATCACCAGCATATCCATGCTGACCATATCCTGGAAAACTCACACAATTTTCATTCTGCTGGAGTGAGTGAATTGACAAGTAACTCACCTGGAAAATGGACTTCACGACGGCCAGGAGGAAGTCATTCAACTTCCGCTGCTTGTTCATGTTGAGGAAGAGGTGGGCGTAGTGAATGGCGATGGCGCCCCACACTAAATAGCTGTACGCTATTTCCTCGTCCTCCTCGTGAAAGGGCGCGCCGTGCTCGCGCCTCCAGAGCTCCAGCACGGCCACCAATTGTCCGTCTGGTTGCACCACTGCCTGACAGAGGATGTGCGCGGTGTCCTTGTTGGTGATGCCCTCGGGGAAGCGCGCGTCCACGTCCCCTTTCGACAGCCTCACCGGCTCCCGCGTCCTGGCCACGTACGTGGGCACTGTGAGGCCGGACTTGACTTTGTGCAGGCGTGGCTCTCCGTCCTCGGCCAGGGTCTCGTGGCCCAGATACAGACTCAGCACGTCCGGGCTGCCGCTGTCGGCGAGATACAGACGGAATCCGTCCGCGCCGACGGCACTGGAGATGCAGGAGCCCAGCTCGTATAGAACGTGCGAACGCGTGGGACGCAACTGAAGCGAATGTGTGAGATCCTGAAGCATCTGCCTCTTGTCGGCGTGCACGCAGAATCGCCATCTGGGCAGGGAGAATGAGCCATAAATCACTGAGTGAATTGTCTTTGGAATATTTCCAATGAGAGCGCGACAAAATGATTTGGCAGGGAAGAGGAATTGGCAAGAGGTAAATGAAATCACCGATCATTCACAAAACATCAATTTCTTTGAGTTGAAAATAGTCATATTGGGGTAATTTCGGTGACTCACTAGTTCTTTCCAATTTAGCATTTAAATGGGGAGTAAAATCGCCAGAATATCCTTAAGAATATTCAAATAATACGTTAAAATGAATAAAATAATTTAATTACAATTCATTCGTACTTTTTAGAATTGAGTGTTCACTACTGCATTACTAAAAGTGAAAAAAAACTCCAAGAGGCTCTCAGATTGATGAATTTTTTGCTCACTCCAGTTTAGATTTATTAGTTGATCAATGCTGAAAAATCGGCAGGGAATTTTGCAATAATTACCGTGACAGGCTTGTCTTGCGCGCTTGCTGCTGAGGCTGCTTCTTGGAGCGCTGGATCCGCCGGATCATCCATCGCTCCAGCTGCTCGATCTCCACCTCCTCCATGACGTAGTGCTCCAGGAAGTCCGGGTGACTCCTGAGGAAGCCAACAACTTGCTCCTGCATCGCATCATCTGCTGCTGATTGTGAGACTCCGTTGACTTTGGTATTTCCTAGGCAGAATGAAAAAAGCACGACATTTGACGCTCGCGAGCTTGCTCAAAGTGCATCCCGTGGCGCATTTCTGGCCTCATGCCCAAACCATAAACACATACGCTGAATGACTGAGCCGATGTGTAATAATAAGTTCAAGGTTGCAGTGTTAGGAAATCCATTAACAATGTGTCGCTCCTCATCAATTGCAGCAACAATTAAACGAGAGAGAAAATGTGTAGATTGGGAGACGAGGATGGAATTTCGATTTCCCATTGAGTGTGTGTGCCATAATAACTCAACTTTGGAATATTAATAGACTTTCATCATTTTTTCCTCCTCTCGATGGACTCTTCATACTTCTCCCTTCCTCCATGCAGAGTCTCTAATAATTTATAATATTTTTTGCCATCCCCATAATTTTTTTTTCATCGCGAGAGGAGGTGAAGTAACGATGGTGAGCCATTAATTTGTGCTGTGTGTGAGAAAAGAGGCTCTCATCTTGCAAGTGACTGTGCGCGATAATGTGCAAAATGATTGGGAAAATAAACACAGGATCGCTAATTTCTATTTCAAGTGGAACACACTCTCTCAGTACAATTCGGCTGGATGGATTTCTTCCATAACAGCAACAATAATAATAATAATTTGGCGCAACGATGACGCACTTTCGATGATTTTGTGCTCTCACGCATCCATTCATGCTCAAATGAAATTCATTGGACTCATCAATTTGCCAAGATTTCCATCTTCCTCGTCGTGCCCTCAAATTAATCTGCCAATTGTAATTTGTAGCAGCGCAGAAAGTGCACAATTTCCTTCAGCAGTTACGCACAGCACAAACTTTCTCTCTTTTTCCTAACTATTTAAATTAATTCGAAGAAGTCTTTCTCCATTGCCTTTGAGAATATTTCACATTTTCTCCTTCTTTTATTGCATTCCATTCTATTTTTCCCCATGAAAGACTTTGTAAGATTTTCTTCCAGTTCGTCCTGTGCTTTTTATATGTACACTTTCAAGAGCTTTTCAAATAAACTTTACAGCAAATCAGTTTGTTATTGAATTCACAGAATTCACTTTCCTTGCGCTATTGAGTTATGGATAAATTATCATAACATTCAGCAGTAAAAGAGCAATATTTTGCGCTCTGCACGAATGGCTATTATATTAAAATGTTTATTACTCATTTTCCTCGTGAATGACAAGATGATTTTATCTAGAACAAATTCATTGTGTCATAAATCCTCTTTCCGAGTGCAAGAAGCTCTTAACATTATACTGATTATTTTATGCAATTTTACGATTTCACAGAATATTTTAGGAAATGCATCTGAAATTCCTCAGTAAATCTGGGGAAAATTTCACCTTGTCCGCGGACATTTCAGCCATTATTATATTTTTCATTGCAACTTTTGAAAATGGAATTGTTATAAGTCGAAAGGCTATTCGCAGATTAATTTGATAAGACTGTTTGCGAAATGGACAATATTGATAAACCTAGGTTTATCTGAAACGTTTTCTTCCATTATCCACGAAATGCCTGTAAATTTTATGATTCAAAAGTGTGTTATTCTTTTCGTACATTTCTTTATCACAAAGTCGCGCAAAATAGTACATTATTGAGTTAAGTGAAAGAAAAGTAATGGCAAGATATTTATTTTCTCAAAGTTATTTAACAGTTAAGCAGAAAAAAGCTCGGAAGATGAAAATACTCTTATCGAAACACACACTGAACAAAGTTTTTTATACCCAAAATTCACTAATTAAAAATCAAAGGTTATTTAATCTTCAATGATATTCAGTTTTATGAATTTCAAATGAAAATGAAATAAAAAAATCACTTTTTCCGCGAAATAACAGACACTTGATATAAATATTCAACAAACTTCCCAATCAAATCATCGACTTGGCAAAAGTTAAAGTCAACATGCGGAGTTTGGCCGAAAACTCGCAATTTCACCTGGAAGCTTTTTCTGATAATTTCGCGCAAATATAATCAGAAATGGATGTTTGGGCAGTGGAAAAATTAAAACTGGGTTAATGGACAACCGTCGAAGTTGATCAAGTGGAGAAGTAATTAGCATTTGGCCTCAAAGTGGCCAGAAAAGGGGAAGACTAAATATTTATGCGGAGATTTTCATCTGCGCCGTCATTGTTTAGCCAATCTGTGGCCTGATAACAAACAGAGCCGCCGGAACGAGCGATGAAAAGCGTTGGATTTGGACAGGAGAATTGAGGAAATGAGGACACTCACTGGCCATGTTGCATGGCGCTCGGTTCTTCCACAAATTCACAACTCGCTCACTTAAGGTGCTCCACATGGCCGTTACATCCATTTGAATGCACGGCGTTCCGCCCCATCGCCAGGACTCGCCTGGCAATCAAACCGAGCACTTGATGGCTTTTCAATAGCCCATTGATGTCGCACCGGAATAACAGCCGCCCAATCAATGTGGGAATCCAATAAAAATGCCTCTCTTGGCACACAATCAGTCTCCGCACAACAAAGAATTTGTCCCGCGATGCCAGAACGCGGATTTATGCGATGATTTTCCCTGCGCCCGGGAAATACGCGCGCTTTTGTCTGCTCACGACCGCAAGACGATTAATACTGACTGCGGCGCTCGAGTGAAACTCTGTGGCACTCGCCCGACTGTTGCTCCAAGGCGGTCGGGGGGTGAGTGCGCGCCTCGTGGAGCCCCCCAAATCATGAGGCTAATACGAATGCGGCGAACAGGGAATTGTTTATAAACTCAGGCTCAGATAATGGGGAGATTTTAGAGAAGCTCAAGAGCCGATTTGCGCCGTTGACCTCCAATATCAGTCATATTTCTTGCAAAATAAGAAATTTCGCTAGCGTGAGTGAAATGTTGAATGGGAAATGCACTGGGGAAAAGTTGTGTGTGTTTCGGGCTGAATGAAGTAATGCCGAGATTCTCAGAACAATTTTAGTGAACAAAATATGCAGTATATGATTTATTTGCGAGTCAAATAAAATAGTGGGCGGAGCGAACACGTGTGCGTTTCCTTTTGCATCTTTTTACCAATTTATAACCAATAGATGACTTTCAAGTCTCGATTTTACGGGTATTGAGTTGTCCTATATAGATTTCTAGAGAATCTTCTAATGTTGTAACGTCAACACATATGAAGCGCTCAAAACTCTGAGTGTTTCCTCTTTCCTCGCAAGCCTTTTCTTAAACGATCTTAACGCACGGTTTGCGCTGTAAATGAAAATATTTAATCAGAAAATCAATATTTTATCTGATGACTCTTTGGGCGACTCATCCCTTGAGCAACATTGTGGAGAAGACATTTGAGAAAAGTTTGTATTAAGTTCTCCCGCAGTCATGTGCGATAATTTGCACGGTCTGTAATGAAATCTGCGTTGGGACCGGGCAAAAATCTCTCGTGGCTGCAAGTTCGCGTGTAAACATGTGCTGAGATGGCGAAGCACCTAATTAGGCCACTTGGGAATCCACCCGACTACATCCTTGAGCTGTGTTAGGGCGCGGAGCGCGCCAATCCTACATGACTCAGTAGAATGTGTGGAATATCCGTGGGTTTTGGGCGTTCGCGATGGACAGCAAAGGAATTCCTCGCGCTGGGGCGAAAAAAGCGGGAAGCAAAAATAATCAGGAGCGATAAGATGGTATTGGCGAGATATACTGAGTGGGTGACGAATGGATAGAGCGTCTCTTGCTCTTTTCCTGTCCACACACTCACGCGGTTTCTGTGGCGCGGGGGCGGGCATTTAATTAGAATCTGATAAAACTATAATGGGCCGCACTTTCGGTGCCAAAGTCGCACTGTGCGAAGCTCTGGGTGAGGGAAAATATTACTGACAGACATTCGGTGGATAATGAAGACAATTTATGGCATTCACCCTAATCAATAATGACTCCCCACGTCTTATCAATCTCAACTAATAATATTGATCATTAAAATGTGTGCCTGTGGAGGCGTCGAAAATGTGAGTGCGTCGCGATTGAAGGCATATTTGGAGTGATTTCGGATAAAGTGCGCCTCGGCAAGTGCTCACAGCTACTGCAAATGTTTCACTAAAGTGTTTTCTGTGCAGATTTCACGAAAAAGATAAGGGAAATTATGAAATTTTCCTCAAAATCACTCTTTTACCACATCAAAATACAGCAAAATATATCAGAAGTGGGATCAGATAGTGAGTCGCTATGGTGTGAGTGTTTTCCATCGGAATCCCAAATCTCGTAAGCGACGCTGGCCCACCTAATTTCCCAACTGGGATTTTCAGCATGAAGGCACGGCGGGGAAAATGTGAAGAGCCATTTGGGACGCTCTTCTCTCCCTCTTCAGCACCTCCTGATGATGAGTGTCTAAAAAATTCGCGCCAAATAACGAAATGGAGGAATTTTATGATAACACTGGAGTGTTATATTATTTATGGGCCACACGACATGCCCATTCCCTGAGCTCATTTTCCCACCACGCGATCCAATTTCCATCCCGAGAAGCCACGCATTTGTCCAGGAGGAGAAGAGAAAAATTTTAATGGTAAGTGCAATTTTTACGATAGCAAAATTACATGCACATAAAATTCATCCAACGCGCCGGACCTTAAGTGATAGTGAATTGCCAGAGGACACTGGGAATAGAGAGAAGGAGAGTCTCTATAAATTGCACGAGGATTCCTCCCTTGTGGGAACGCGCGCAATTTCAACGGAAAAGTCAATGGGAAAAGTTTCGTCGCGCTTGTGTGTGAATAATTTTCCCATTTATTAATTGAAAAGCCCGCGCGCGTTCACTCACCCGCATTTCTCCTTCTGTATCGCGAACTCATTGCCGCCATCCTTGTCTCCGGAGTCCAATAAAAAGGCACTCTCTCGGCAGATGGAACAAAGCACTTGCGGATCACAAAGCCACTTCCAGCAGAGCTTCCTTGCCGCCCACAACACAAGAATACCTCAAGTAGCCGTGAATATTTGACGATAACTGAGGTGAAATGGGTGTTGGGACGTGTTTTATTCGCTCCCCAATCGACACTCACACACGAAAGCCCGCCCGAAATATTAATTGTTGCGATGCAAGACGCTCTTCTCCCCTGATAATTTTGGACGACAAGAAGTGCCCAAATGTTGGCGCGTATTTTGCACGCAACTCATATTTATGTCCGCTCGAATTTATATCCACTCTATTTGTTGACCATTAAAAACATCCTCAAAATAGATTAATTGACAGAAGGGTTGCTGGAAGTGGAAAAGTTCATCAGGAATGGGAATTTCTTGTGTAATTTCCGCACAATTTGTGAAGATAGTAAAAATAATTATATTGGTAAGTTGTTTCACAGTTTTTTCACGATTTTAACACGAAAATTTTAATTTTATTTACATATAAAAAAAACCAAATTGAAAGATTTAACTCTTTATTAAAATTTTTTATTGACTCTTGTTTTATTTGAGACATTTGAAGAGAATACACAACAGCTTCTGATAAGATTAGTAAATTTTGAGTGAAATTTGCAATGGATTTCCTAGAAATTCAAAGAACACTGACAATAAATCAAGAAGGAGTATCAGTAATAATTTTATGATTGAGTATTGCTTGGGAAATACACGATAAAAATCAATTTCTCTCATAAATATTATGGTAAACTGAGCAGGAAAGTTGAAAGAAACTTACTTATTTTCAATTCTCACACCCAAGATTTCCCATCATAGCATTTTTGAGCATTTCTAGATGACTTTTGTGAAGAAAATTGTATGTTTTTCACTTACAGTGTCGCTTTTTTTCATGCCAATATCGATATTGGTCTCGTGCCATGAATTATTCTTGGAGAAACTTTGCAGGCCGGCATCCTAAAATTCAATTTTGATGGAAGGGTCGATTTCCAGCAATCCATCCTCGAGTCTTGAGTGCCTCTGACGGCAGATTAGGAGCAGAGATAGAGTGTATCGGAAGCGGTCGCAATGGAATTTCCTTCTGCTGCTCTTGCTGAGCCGTGTGGTCTCGTCGTGCGGGTCGGGGGAGAGGCACCGGGAGAGGGTTGAAGTGCGCCACAAATTAATTTCATGACTTCCCTTCTGGCGGGCGACGCACAAAAAGGGGGCGGCGAGTGTACATAGAGGGCCGCCGCACAGTATCTTGTCTGATCGATGAAAGGGGATTATTCAATTGGTTTTTAATTGGCGAAGGGATGGGGCGCCCCAAGAAGTCCTCGTCCTTGAATCTATATTTTCCAGAGCGACTTTGGGTAGGAAGACAACTAATTACGACTATTTACACACACCCGACATTTGTGGTTCACTAAAATTAATCATAATTTTCTCACCTGCTTTCTCGCCCCCCCTCTTTTGGGGTGGATTTGGGAAAAGTTTCACTTGTCGGCTTTGGAAAACGTGATGCAGGGAGAATTTCAATTGAGTTCTTCTCGCTGGCAAAGGGGAAGTGATAGAGTTTCCCTGTTTTAATTGCATTAACCCGCCCTTTGATAAACTGGAGCTATTCAGAGAGAGTGAGATTGGGGCAAGGTTGTCCCATTTATTTGGACGGTTTGGACAATGTTAATTGCTCTCTTCCTCCCTATCAATGTGATATAATGGCTTTAATCTTATGCACCAGATTAGATAGAGAATCGATCTAACAGACACTCAACTTTTCAGTGATCCGGCGCTCTTGCCAGACAAAATATGGGCAAATCGAGAGATAAAACATTAATCACATCAATCAAACTTACTGAAATACTGTTTTCTAATAAACTTGCGAAGAAGTTATTAATTTACTGATCACGAACTGTTAAATCAATTGTAACAATTACACAATTGAATATTTGTTTTTTACCACGATTTTTCCTCCAAATCATCCCGTAATATTCCAGTTCATTATCAAAATCATGAAGAGATTTGAAATTAAAAAAAAAACATTTTTTATTACTCGGCTAAACTTGGCGGTTGGCGTTCGTCTAAATTTCAAATTCATCCCATTTTTCGATAGGATTTCGACAGGCAGAATGTCAATTTGGCCGACACGATGACAGCCTCAGGGCGGCCAACATTTTTGGGTTGCCCTGTGTACCGACGCGTTACGGCAAAAATACCACAAAGTCTCTGCGAAAAGTCTGTTTTCTGCAAGCCACCAGCCAATTTGCACTACACAAGTATTCTCCAGCAGCAGTAAGAGGCGTAAGTAATGCGTGGGCGTGTGTTTGGGGCCCCGTTGGGGTGTATTTCATGGGGAAATGCGGGCTTCAGAGGGTGGGAGATTTTAACCTCTTGCTACCCTGTTCTGAAGCGTCCATATTGTTGACTCGCTGCGAAGCATTTTTGCTTGTTTTTGCGCCTCTGAGGGGAAATCCTTGGGCGTCACTGTTGGCCGCTTTTCTCACGCAGTGCTTCTATTTTGGCAGGCGATCAGCATGAGGAACCGCACTGAATTGAAGACCACCACGCTCGAGGGCTCAGACTACGAGGAGGAGGTGTCCGATGGCGATGACTCCGGCGAGGACTGGCAGCCGGACAAAGAGGGGGTGAGTGAGCAAAATGCGAGGCTCGTAGACTTGTGCTAATGGTGTGCGATGTTTCCCCGGGCAGGATGCCGCCGCTGCGGGCAAGAAGAAGGGCGTGAAGGTTGCCGGACCGGCAAAGAAGACACCGGCCAAGCGCAAGGCTCCGGCCGGAAAGCCCGCAAAGGGCGGGAAGAAGAAGGTGAAGAAGGAGAGCTCTGATGAGGAGGATCTGGAGGATGAGGACGATGTGGAGGACGAGTCCGATGAGGAGTTTCCCAGCGATTCTGAGGATTCCGAGGAGGACGTGAAGAATGGCGATGGGACGAAGAAGAAGCGCACCGCGAAGAAGGAGAGCGCCGACCCGAACGGCATGTTCACGCTGTACGTGAAGAAGATGGATCTCAAGAGCGGCTTCACCGATCAGCAGAACCTCTTCATGTGGAAACGCGACGGATCCAGTCTCCTGCAGCGCTTCAAACAGAACAGAACCGAGAAGAGTGATGACTACATCTTCGCGCCCACAACCGTGGTGAGTATTTGCTGCGGAGCTGCTTGTTTGTGATCTCCTGCTAATCGCGCGCCCCTTTGTAGTACTCGTGCTGGGAGGACAGGCGGAAGGACGAGTACTTCGAGGTGAAGACCAAATCTACGAGCGGCGGCGACGGACTGGTGACGATCGTGGACAAGGAGGAGTTCGCCAAATTCATCGAACAGTCCAAGACGTACGAGAAGCCGGAGTCCGAGGAGGAGAACGAAGAGGAGGGCGAGGGCGGGGAAAATTCCGAGGACGAGGAGGGCGAGGAGGACAACTCCGACGAGGAGGAGGAGAGCTAAGCAGCTCGCCCACATTGTGTATCACACATCCCTTTAATCACAGAGATGAACACATGGTCAGAACTTCATTTTTCCAGGCGCAAAAGTACCATTCTTCCCTCCTGATTTTCCTCCTCTCTTTTGTAATGGATTTTTTGTATCATGTGATTAGTTGTCAGCTATTATCTTTTTGACTACGTAGAAAGTTTTCTTTTTTATTAGGTAGAGACACACTCGCTTGAGGAGAAAGTCCCTAAGAAATCCAATTTGTCCAGAAGGAAAAAAAAGTTCATTGGAAATTATATAATATTCATTAATAATAGTAATCGCAAGGAAGCAAAAGAAGATTAAATTCTATAAGTGTAATACAGCAAAATGTATGTCAAAATGAAGAAGAATAAAACAGTTTCTGAGGAATAATCTCGGAGAAATAATTCGGGAAATCTCTTTTCACTTTGGCGGGAAGGCTGACTACCAGCAAAGATGGCGGCCGTGGAGACTTTCTCTGGAGACATTTTGACATTTCGGATCATCCCGCGTGAGTAGCACTCGCTTTTCCACCTTTTATATGGCCTGGAAATGCTGCTTTTCTGCCCGACTTGTGGGAATCTGCTGATGGTGGAGGAGGACTCGCTCTGCAATCGCTTCGCCTGCCGCAGTTGTCCGTACATTTGCAACATCACGCGCAAATTCGCCTTCCGCACATATCCAAAATTGAAGGTTAGTTTCTGGGTCTTTCATCATTTTGCCAAACATTTATGATTTCCCCGGTTTTTGCTTGCAGGAAGTGGACCACGTGATGGGAGGCGCTGCCGCCTGGGAGAACGTAGATTCCACAGACGCCGTGTGCCCTCAGTGCAACCACCGCAGAGCGTACTTCATGCAAATGCAGACCCGCTCGGCGGACGAGCCCATGACGACCTTTTACAAGTGCTGTAACCAGCTGTGCGGATTCAACTGGCGCGAGTAGGACACAGTGACATGTTCCGCTGCCTGGGGAGCTCGAGATCCCCCCTCAAGTTCTGTGCTAAGAGACTTTTCCATTCCGGGAGTGAAATGCAATCGCCACTCGTGCTGGTCAGCACGGCCAATCCGAACGCCGTGCCGCTTGCCAGAGACTTGCTGGCGGCCGGCGAGGTAATCGCTCTGCCCACCGATACGGTATACGGCCTGGCGTGCGACGCCAACAATCCGGGTGCCATCCAGAAGCTGTACCAAATCAAGGGACGCGAGGAGAAGAAAGCTGTGGCCATTTGCGTGGCAGAAATAGACGACTTCCATCGCTGGGGCGACGCTGCGCATTTGCCACGCGAGATGTTGAGCGAACTGCTACCCGGAGCCGTGACTCTGGTGGTGAACAAGTCGTCACGCCTAGACAATCCCTTCCTCAATCCCGGATTCCAGCGCATCGGTATTCGCATCCCCGACTGCGCCTTCATCCGAGAGCTGTCGCGCGCTTTCCGGGCGCCCATCGCGCTCACCAGCGCCAACAAGAGCAGTGAGCCCAGCTCTCTGGCCGTGGCGGAGTTCAGGGCACTGTGGCCACTGCTTGGCGCTGTGTTCGACGGCGGCCAGCTGGGTCTCACGGACGCGCAGCGCGCCGCCTCGACGGTCGTGGATCTGTCCCAGGAGGGCAGATACATGGTGATCCGCCGCGGAGTGGCCATGGAGAACACAGAGAGTGTGCTGCAGAGGTACAAGTTCCGCGAGGAGGCGCAAGAGTGAGGAAAATATGCTTACGAGGAGTAACCAAAGCAACTCTCCGCAAAAGAGACATCAGTTAACTGATAACAAACAATTCAATGAGAAATTGTGAGAAATTGCCTCATCAGAACGTTGTACATTAATAAATCTAAGTTCAATATGTACTTTTTTCACTTTCCTGAAGTTGTTTCAGCAAAACTCACACACTGATGAGGTCTACTTGAAGACGGAGTTAGTGTCGCTTCTTTTGCTTGCAAAGAAATGGTGCGTGAGCAAGAAATAATTTCCATTTGACGGATATTAAGATAAGAAAATTAATGAAATTTTCAATTTACTAGTTCAGCGAAATTTCGGAAGCAAAATTGTTTATACATCTATTCATGAAAGAGATTACATTCGAGAAAGAAACTATTGAAACTTCAGGAGTTTGAAACTATAAGAGCGACTTCCGATCTGAATACATAATAGCAATTTATTTAAATACGCCCACAATTCTTTTTACACGAGGTACCAAAAGGAGAAGAACTTTAAATCAATCATACTCAAGTCGTTTAAGTTCGAAAAACATCAGGTTTACTGTGAAAATTTGGAAATTCCATCTCAATTACAGAAATTACGTGAAAATATCCTTTGCAACTTCACAGAATTGTCATAAATTCATACACATTGCTGAAAATCTAACTGATTAAACCCTGTAAATAATATCAAATTAATCCCTCTTGTTCTTCTGCTCCATTGTGGAAATCATTGAGTTACTTTGTAAAAATAAAAATACAATTTCTACACACACTGTTCATCTGTAAGTAAAATTGGGTAAAGCCTTGCACCAAAAAATTTCAAGAGATAATAGAAATAAGACATAAATCATCAAATCACATTGTTGGTCTCATACGAAATAAGCAGAAAAACAGAAAAATTCTCTGAGAAATTCTCCTAATCTGCGTGTGTTATGTCAATATATTATCCTAATATATCCATATTCCCTTTGTCGTGTCAATGTAAAGGTTTCACAGCGATCATTTGCGCCTGTTGATCACCTGCGCCAACTTCTGCGCTACGAACGGCCAGAGGACGAGGAGGAAGAACCAGTTGGGCGAGATGTCCTCGAATGGCCACCAGCTGGGATACTGCCGGATCTGCGGAGGGAAGAGCGTTAGTGAATGCTTTTGCTGGTCATTGACTGGAGGAAATACCCTCGAGGCCTGCATGTAGCGCACTTCCAGCAGCGATCTCTCCATGATGTTGATTCTGTTCGTCACCTGCTGCAGGTCCACGCTCATTCTGTCCACAGTGGCGTTGAGCAGGTTCAGCACCTCCAGGAACTCCTCATTCACGCCCGGCCTCTTGCCCGCTTGCGATCGCACCTTCGATCGCGACACGTGCTGCGAGGACACGCTGGAGAGCGACCGCGCGCTCAGCGTCTCCGGCTCGTCCTCTACCGTGTCGATGTACTCGTCGTCCGACTGCTCCGTCAAGTGGCCGTTCTGGTGCGCCGTATCGTGTCCGTTCGTCAGGAAGCCGTTCCCATTCACGTGCGGCGGCGGCGGCAGAGCCAGGCCGTTCATCGGCGCCCGCACAGGACTGGACTCGCGTGATGCTGTAACAAAACACGTGTTGTCAAGTCCCTGACCCTTAGTCTCTCTCGCGCCTCTTCCGCTTACCGAAAGGTGAGTTTGGATGTGAGCGCACTTTCTTGATGGCCTCCGGCGCCACAGCCTCCAGATCGTCCACATTCACGCCGTCCAGTTCGCTTATGCTGCCCATGAACTGAGCCACGTTGTCCGTGTACGACATCGTCTCGATGATCTTCTTCAGCTCCTCCACGTAATTCTCCATCGCGCGCTCTTGGCTCATGTCACCCAGCGCCTTCCACGCCTGCCATTTCGCTCTGGAAGACAAGCATTTGGCAGTCAATACACAGTGGCTCAAATTTCTAATCAATTGTAGTGAAATGAAAGTTCTTGTATTGATTAACGAATACTCAATAGAGTTCTATGACGTTAAACGCTTATGTTCTTTATGCATAATTTAAAAGGCGAAATAGGAAATGAATAATCACGTTAAAAATTCTTTTGTTTCTGGACTGAAAACATCAGAAAATTGTGTAATTCTAACTTTTTTTTCATAAAAATCACTTTGCATATTGAAATAAACAGAGTTTTCATCTATTTTCAGTGTAGATTTTGAAAAGTTTTACAATTACAACAGAGTGTTTTAGGGAAATTTGCGTATAATCGTTAGAATAATACTTTTTGACTAACAATTTAGCAATGTAATAAAGAGTTTCTTCTGGTAACTTATCTGAATAATAAAAATAAGCAATTTCCTAATACATTTCTCCGCCAGATTGAAAGAGAAAATGCACAGAAATCATTCTCTTTCGTATGCCATTGAACTCGACTAGAGTCAAACGTTATTGCTTGGACGAAAAGCGTCCCAGAGATCATAAACACGAGTTATTGGAGTGTTGATTGCGCACGACGCACCTGTTGACGACGTCCCAGAAGGCGGGTTTGCTCTGCGTGCAAGGTCCGAGAGTGCCTTGTTTGTAGTACGAGTAGAACTTCAGCATCATGTCATTGCTGGGCTGATAAGATCCTGCGGAGGGAAGTGAAAAGGAGAGATCAACACCTCACTCAAAGATTCATTTAGAATGGAGGTGTTAATAAAAAACCGAAAGCGATACGAAAGCATGTTAGATTTCACATTTAACTCTTTGTTCAGTTTCACCAGTCGAACTAATCTCAACTCTTTTTGTCCATATATTTTTCTTTCTCTCCAAAAAATCTCTCTCTCTCTCTCTCTTGAAGCTCGTGAGTTTTTTGTTCTTTTCCATGTCCACATAAAATAGCGTTGTTGCTTAACAGCCAAAAACGGCAATAAAGTACTCTTCATCGCGATCTTTTCGAATTGGCATTTGCCCATCGAAAAAGCACTTCTTGGGTGATTTTACAAGACAACAGTGCCTCTATTTACTGATCAAACCTTAGTGTGGCGAAAAAAGTTGAGGATACGCGAAAGGAGGGAAAAAAGCCAAGTACAAATTTTTACTTTCACCTCAACAAATTGCCTCGTTCGAAGTTTCATCATTGCAAACGCCGCGGCACACAATAATTGCCACTGTTATATTGCCACCTCTTTTGCCTCCCAACTCTCTCGGTTTGTGGGCAAAAAGGAAAAGATGGTATTAGAAAAACTGTAGTGCGTCTATCAGTAATAAAGAGTCGCCCAATCGCATATTACCAATGCGATGATGCGGAAAAATGCTTTGCAAGAAACATTTGTTGCTGCCTTTGTGCATTTTGCAAAATTAATAGTCGCAGGGTCAATGCTGAACAAGAAATAGGCGAATGCGCGCGCCTTTCAAGTCGCCTCGAAAAACTAAACCAATTATTATGTAAGCTTTGTTGAAATATGATATATTAAATACTGAAATGAGTGTGTGAAAAACATGAGTCGAATCACTTCCCTTTTTTCCACTTAAACGATTTTGTCACGACTATTACATCAAAAGTCAATAAATTTAGTGAAATATTTTCAAACCAATGTTTAATCTCCTCAGTGAGAATAATAAGAAATAGATTTAAAAAGCTCAATGCGCACCAGTTAAGAAATCTGAAGATTTGACTGGACGTGAATAAACTCAATGCTTGCTAATGGGCGTGGCTTGCGAGTAGGCGGAGCTTCTAAGAATTTCTCAATTCTCCAGATTTAAAACAAACACTGAGATAACAGTAACGAAATTTTGCTTGGTTGTTTCAGTAATATTTCAAGAGAAAAAACTAAAATTTGCACAAATCTGTTATTAAATTCAAGCCTGAAGAGCGTCTTTTTTTCCAATAAGTTTGACTTTTAAAGACAGAAGTCTTGCTACTTTAATAAATAAGATTTTTATATAACAAAAAATACCTTCGTGTAACTTTAATGCTCTAAAGATCACATCTAATCCAATACACGTGCCTCACAAATAAGAAACATTAAACATTTCGAGTACCTACGGGTTAAAAAGATGTTTATCAAGTATAGAGACTTGAAGGTGAATGTAAGTAGAAAATCACATATTTGCAAATGTAGGAAAATCTATCGAAAAACTCCTTCAGAGCGACTGAAGAAGCGCCAGATTTCCCACGGAAAATGGCCAGACTTCGAACGGGGAAAAGCACGGCATGAGTTCAAGAAGACCAAACAAAGCAACAAGTATGAATAAGCAGAAATATTCACACACAAACAAGATCTTGTGTATCTGTTGGCAAATGAAATAACTAGAGAATTTCAATTAATATACACTCCAGCGCTGTACACAGCGATTTCGTGTCTACGCGGCTATCTTTCGTCTCTGTTTTCCCCAACTGCCCATATATTCCTCCGGTCACTCTTATGTACTGTTGACCCAAAGCGATTCTCCCGGCCATATTTGCATTTATCCACACACAGAAAATCACGTAGTTAAGTTATTTGGCTGATCGTACAGGAAATTATGGGTATTATCGTCAAGAATTACATGTTATCACCTTGTGGAAATGTTTATCTTTCGCCGATTTATCCGGAAAATGGCGAAACAATCTTCTCCAGACCGTCTTTGTTGGGGAAATCAACGGCACACGTCATTATGAATCATTTCAATTGCAATTGTGCAGAGAAAATGCAATGGCAGCTCATTGTTATTCCATGAGAACACACTAATTTGGTGTATTTGTAATATTTTTGCTTCAAAAGCCACCAAAGCGTATTGTGGAGGCTTTTGGAGAATTAATCCATCAATGGGAGTTGAAGAAAGAGCAAAAATTCAAAGAGAATAAAGAAAGCCCAACTCTTGGGCAATGGTATTAACCTCCAGATAAAGTACAGCAGACTAGAAGACCAATTGTGATCAATGCCACGCTTAAGTTATCTCTTCGGTGACCTTTCTCACCTCCACAGAGTTATTTCTTAACAATATTCACTACTTTTCACCGTACGCTCATTGCGTAAAATTGCCATATTCATCATGATCACTTAAAGATCAGCGCCAGTCTCATGAAGTTATGATCTTTAGAGTGTTAATTAGCGAGAAAAAATCGCATTTGTGGCATGTGAATTAAAGAAAATATTGATTTTAAATATTTTCACACAATGGAATGCATTTTTAAAACACTTTTATGTCACTCTTTTGCACATGAAAGCAGAAATTATGAACACCCATTAAATATTGATCCATCGTGATTGTTTCATTTGTGATCTCAGCGTGTCTCTGTTAAATATTTTACCATGTAAAAACATCCCATCGCTGATGAACGGTGGGCTAAAGAGCACACTAAATAAATAATGCACGAGTTTCTATCCAAGACTTTTCCATTTCACTCCCATCAATAATACAATGAGCAGAGTCATTCCGTGAAGAACGGCCGATAAATTGTCCATTCCAGAGCTCTATGCTCGCGACAATTCACCACTTCTTGCTCATGCGGAGAAATGCAACAAAGTCCACTTCGCGGCTGTTCCGGATCACGGATTTCCATGTGATCAAGTGACAAGGATTTCGCAACAATGTCCAGGATTAATATTCATAAGACGAATGATACAAGCAAAACATTCTTTTCCACCAATCGTGCATGACATTTGACTCACTCAGCTTTTTTCTGCACGCGTGATTATGCAAATCGTCACAAAATGATTATTCTAATGCTAATTCATTGGCTTCAATGGCATATTTTTGGAAATTCTGAGCTCTGCGGGCTTTTGAGCATTGGACGTTGAGGTCAAAGTGATTCGATGTCACTTATCGCTTATCAGTTGGAGTGGCGGCTGAATAAACAGGGCAAGAATGGCGAGAAAATTAGCAAAACAGCGCGGATTACTCTATTATGAGACTCTTTGTGGAATAGTAAGGATTCCTGCTCCAAACATCACAGGTATTGTAACTGAAATGAGTCTCTCTTTTTGGACCTCTTCGAGATTTTAATACAAAATTCTCTGCAATTTGATAAGAAAGTGATGATTCGCTGCTTGTTTACTTAAATTTCCCGCACTTTCTTGTCCCCAAATAAGAGTGAAAGAAAAATCAGCTGATCAGGCGCAATTTCCCTCATGCGATGGTCAACAAAACAATCTCGCCACCCACAAAGTGCTGGGCATTCGCCGTGTGTGTTGTCGCTGTTCTGATACTCTTATCACGAGGCGAGACAAGAAAGAAAAACAGTCTTTATCGAGCTCTCCAGGGCTCTTTTCAGCACAGATACCGCGGGAATTCAGGCCTCTCTGCTCACCATTCTTGGGCAGTCCTCTGATGACATTCACGGCTGCCGTGAATCTCTCCTGGACTGTTGACATTGCGGACGGCGGCGCTCGAAGGCTCTGCACTGAACTCGCTGGCGCGCTTAACCCTGTCGGGCGGCAATTAATTCAGCAAAGCACTATTCTCGCAGCGATAAAAGGCGAGAAAAAAAAATCATTGAAGGTGGACTTTGTACTGGTGTCACAATCACTGTTCCTCACTTTGCACGACACTCGGCCACTCAGCACAGCATTACGGACGCACGGGGCACTTGGTTGCGGGGCGGAGTCACTGTGTTCACGGAAGATTCGCGGAAGAGGAACAACTTTGCTGGCGAGCGCACATACTTTGTTGACGAACGGGCGAGAAGTGTACAAGGAACTGCGCCAGAATGACACGAGATCGGCTGTTCAGCCCCGAGTTCGCCTCTGCTCGGCCAAGAGAAGCCCAGTGCCCTTAGACTGTGAGCATCTTAGAGACAATTAAAAGAGGAAAAGGCACAGTCTGAGGGCTGGGCGGACAATTGACATGCTGCGAGGGCAGCGCCGTGGGCGGGAAATACGCGAAAATCTCCTCTCATTTCTGGTTTCGAAAAATCGTCGGATATCGATAGAAATTTCCAATAACGCGTGAAAAGAGCATTCATTGAGCGTGAAATGAAATCTGTCCGCAACTTAGGCGTTAATTTCACAATTATCTGTGGAATTGCTGGCATTTTTAAGTGTTAGCAACATTAAAAGCGCTAAAAGGAAACTCAAATGAAATGGACATGTCCCACACTTCGGTGGACAGGGAGAGGACGAAGTTCAGGCGACGAATTCACTATCGGGTTCAGTGAGTGGCTGTCAGTTTGGGAAAACGCATGGGGGAATCGTTTTCTCTTTTCTCCCTCAAAATCCCACCATTGTGGCCACGGATGGTAGTTGTAGGCGCGAAAGGGGGCGCAAGAGTGAAGCTACGCTATGGACTTTGGACAGTCGATCCTCCAGAAGTACGGCTGGAGCGAGGGTGAGTATCAGGAGCGAATCCCACTGAATGCAGAGTGACACGGAGCCTCTTTTTAGGTCAGGGCTTGGGAAAGCACAATTCGGGCATCGCCAAGCCGTTGAAGGCGAATCTCAAGTTCGACACGAGTGGCCTGGGCCATGATGGGGCCGCTGAGTACAAGGATCAGTGGTGGGAGAAGGCATACAACAGCGCAGCGTCCAACTTGGCCGTGCGGACGGACGGCGAGGCCGTGAAGATGGAACTGCGCGACGGGCAGTCGGTGAAGATCTCAACGACGGGCTTCGCCAGGCCCCGGGATCCCAAGTCTTCCAAGTATGGGAACTTCGTGCGCTGCGCCACTCTCACGTCCGAGGGTCGTGAGGACAGGATCGAAGAGGAGACGGACACGAGCACGGATTGCGCACCTCTAGCCAGGCCTCTCACGGACGATGAGCTCTTCAGGGCGTGCGGCGGGCGCACGGCTCACAAGGGCGCTCGTCACGGTCTTACATTGTCCGGGAAACTGGCCAGGTTGGCTGAACAGGACAACTTGCTGCTGCACAAAATGGGTAAGTTGGCAAACTCGATGCCATTTTGTATTCTTTATTATTCCCATTGCTGCATCAGCAGGCGAGGATCGAGACGCCACGGAGTCCGAGTGGCAGCGGAAGGTGAACAAGAAGAAGAAACGTCGCCCAATCGCCGCTCCCACGCCGCATGGCAGCCCGGAAGCGGTGGCTGAGGAGCAGGATCTCGTGCAGCACAGCCTGGAGATGAGTGAAGCGGCAGCGCTGCGCGAAAAGGAGGATCTGGCGACGAGGCACAGCCTCACCGGCGTGAGCCCCAAGTCGCATCGCATCCAGCGGAAGCACAAGAAGAAGCGCAGTGAGCCGGACTTCCGGGAGCATCTGCTGTCCGAGATGCGCTCAGACGCCACCGAGGAGCGCCGGTCACGCAAGAAAGGCAAGAGGAGGCGCGAGGCGGACGTAGAGGCGAATCTGGAGAGCAGCAACTCGGCGGACGCGTTCGCGGATGAGGGCAGAGGTCACAAGCGCCTCCGTGCTGCAGATGAGCATGTGTTCGAGACCAGCACGGGCATCCAGGTGGAGCTGGACGATCCGGCCCCCTCGCGCCGCCAGGAGCGACGGTGTCCGACGAAGAAGAGCACCAAGCGGAACATCCGGCAGATTACGGACAGATTCGCGAGGGCGCTCACGACCAGGGAGCCGAGCGACGACGAGGGCATCGATCCCTGATCGTGGAATTCATTTAGGGAAATGCGTTGTTTTCGAGCAACTCTTCTCAATCCTCCTTCTCCCTCGTTTTCTTTCCGCCTTCTTTTGCGCCACAGCCAAAAGAAAGGATCACAAGAACACTGTACAGAATATAGTTGGGAAGGGAATTTTTTTTTTCGGAGAAACATTTAAATGATAGCGATAGATGAAATTTACACACATAAGAGAGAATTGTAAAATGAAAGCCTAGAAATAGCCAAAATAATTGTTTTTGCAATTGAAGGTAAATATAAAATAAAGAATTTGAAATAAATTTCATGCCGTTTTATCTTTTCTCATGTTGTGTTTTTATTAAGATTCCTATATAATACAATTTTTTTTAGATGTTTCAAGGCACAACTACAAATTTTTTTCTCATTAATAATAAATACGTCTTTTTCTTGGATCATAATGTCTTAAGATGGAGGATAAAAATGTAACTTTGGAGTATTTTATCAATTGTTCTTTCGATCTACAGAATTATCATGTCTTTCCTTTCTATGCTTCCTATTATGGTAATATTTTCTTTCTTTACTAGAGAAATTTGAGATTATGTATTTTTCATCTTGCCTAAAATCCTTCTCTTCTCGGCATAATTGGAAGAGAAGTGAAAAATCCTAAAAGTTACCACAAAAATGTGATTAAGACGGATCTCGTGGATCTCTTTCAGTGCTAAATAACAGTTTTAATGCCACTTTCCAGTCAATTATCGCCTCTGGCTAAGAAACTACTCAAGGATTTCCAAATCCGGCATCAAATCTCTAAGCTAAACTGTCACCACAAGCAACAGTCGCTGCTGATCTTTCGCTGATGACGCGCATTAGGAACTCAAACAGATAGAAGTAACACACTTCTGAGATTCATCTTCATCGGCAACTTAAGTACATTTCAATACTCCACACATTTCTCAGCATCAGCGAAAAGGCAGCAGCAAATTTGCTCTTAACCCCTGCAAAAGTCACTATATAATCAGACAATCCTAAAAAGGTCCAGCCATTCTACAGCGCAGCGAGGAAGCTGATAAATCCTTCCTCGCCGAAAACTCGCCTCTTCCCTTTCCGGATAATTCATTATAATCCATATTAAAAAATATCACTAGCGTTCATTTTCAATGAAAATTCCTTCAGCGTTATATCATCAATATAGCAAATTTGCATCCTAAAATCACCTAAAGGTTTGCGCAGAACTTTCACCGCCCCGACATCACTTGCAGAACTTCGAGCGCCCCAAAACCTTCTTACTGTTGAAGTGTACGTCCGGCGGCGCGCAACGCACGGTGCCGTTGGTCACGAAGTCGTAGGCACGCCGAATGTCGTCCGGCGACAGCGGATGCTGCGTGATCATCCCGCGAATGGCACACAAGTTCTTCACCACCGTGTAGGTGAAGAGCGGACTGTGGCGCGGCTTCAGGCCTACGCGATGGGCGCAGATGCCCGTGAGGAAGACATCCTCCAGGTGGAACAGCGGCGTCTTCAGTGACGCATTGTACAGCAGCGTCAAGGCGTCCGTGGACATCACGTATCTGCCGGAAGAGGAGGCACATTATTGGGTAAATTACAATGCTTACAGTCAAGACGATTAAGGACATGCAAACGTGCAGAAAGGACTCACCCCGTGCCAGAAAGGTAGTTGGGATACGTGCTGCCACTGTACATGTAGATGGGCGAGTACCACTTGCTGGTGACGTCGGCGATGGGCTTGGCGTGGCAGAACAGGAAGCCCATGAGCAGCCGCTGCGGCTCCACGACGGCCGTGCGCTTACGCGTGGCCACGAGACTCGAGAGATCGTAGAAGGAGAGCGTGTCGTTGTACACCGGCACGATGCCGCCCATGAGGATGTGCAGCAGATTCGGCACATTAAGGAATACATCGTCGTCGCACTTCATTACGAAACGCACGCGATCCAGGCAATTGTTGCTCACCCACTTCAGTAACATTACAGACTTCAGCGTGAGATTGTTGTAGCTGTCCAGGAAGCCCTCCTGCAGCACATCGCCGAACTGCTCGCTCTCCGCGCCGATCTGGCTCTGTGTCTCGTTGCTGGGCGTCTGGCCCAGCAGGAAGATAACCTTCACGCGCACCGACGGCACTGCGCCTGTGGCATTGTCCGCGGCGTCCTGACTAGATTGCGGCGTGACGTTCTCGCGATAGAAGTCTCGCCACCGCGTTACGTTCGCCTTCAGGTACTTCCCGCGAAAGTTCCAGTGCATCCGCGGGAAGTACGGATAGTTGAATTCACTGCTGTTGCCCCATGTTTCGCGGATCGTTTGCCTTAATACACGTAAAAAAATAATAATCTCATGAGTCTTCTTCTGCCCTTTAGGTCCTTCATTGACACACAGTTCATTTTCTGTGGTGTTAATTATATTGATTGACTCCCGGAGTTCAATTCATCAAATTGTTATCAATCAATAGTTAATAACTGTGAGAACTCGCTTCACCCCACATAAAACCAACCGATCAATTACACGCTAATCTGAGCAAAAATGTTCTTTCAACTCGTGAGTGCACATTCAGAGGCACGTGAACAACGCACACACCGGTTACAATAGGCTTACAAGATTAATATCATCGCTTGAATGCGCTTTTGCTCGTTGAAGGCGCGTGAAAAAATGCTGAAAACCTACATTATTAAGTGAACTGATAAAACATGTTCGATTGGCCCGAAAAGTGTTATGCATTTGGTTTGTTTCTTGCGGTGGAAGCGCTTCAATTGTCGCCCGAATGCCCGGAAGTTTTATTTAGGGCAATTTTCGCTCACCTGGCGTAAAAGTTATTGGCGGCTGAGCACACGACAATGAGGAGAAAGACCCCGTTTTCCATGTCGAGGGTGTTGGGCTCGATGAGGGACGTGTTGAGATGCGGAAAAACGTAATCCGTGGTGTCTCTCGAGGTGTTGTAATTCCATCCTGGAATGCTGACTGCAATGAAGAGAGAGAGAGACACTGTGAGAATCCACCGAATGCAGATCTGCAATTGGCCTTACCTATTCGAGTCTGGATGTTGCGGAATAGGGGAATGTAGACCAGTGAGAGTAGGAAGAGCAGTCCGATCAGGATGACGCCACAGTGGGTGAAGCACTTGCGTTTCGGCCGCGTCCGAGGCACACCAAAGGTCACATCATCGTCGTCCTCGGAGCTGCTGCCGGTGACCAGTGTGTAGTCCCGGGATCGATGAGATCTCTCCAGCAGATTCGAAATGTCTCCCACCATCGTGGCCACCTCGAGTTATCATCTGTACCGCGAGAAAATCAATCAATTGCGCTTCGCTTGTGCGTGTACACCAGACCACAGCTTCGGCCACTTCGCGGCGGTGAAGAGGCCACCGCGAGGCTTTTCCGCCGAGTGGAAAATTGCGTAAAACAGACCCTCTTCACTATAGCGGAAGTGCAGTGTGACCTTCACTCCTTCGGTGGCATTTTCCCCTGATATTCACCCACATTTCCGCAATATTCACACGGAATGTGCTGTAGGGCTCACCTTTCTCTGTAATTATCTCATTTTCACCGTGCGCTGTTGTGGAAAATAGTGAGGAAACTGAGAAAATGGGGAAAATAAAATATTTTCCGCACTGCAATTGTCAAACTCGCGACTCCTGAGCGCCTGCAGCGCCACCAATGCTGTACTAAAAACGACAGCCGTCTTCGCAGCTGGCAACACTATCTCTTTCCATTTATTTTCGTGAAGTTTTCAAGGTATTTCTCGCTATTTTTGGACAATTTTCAACATTTCCAGAATGTTTTTCCACAAAATTCACACTGAAATATCTCGTGCAAATCCTGCAGATTGTGTTAAATGTGGGATTGAATCGAAATTCCCTGTAGTTTTGTGCTAAAAGCGAAAATTTGTGGCTAACCTAAAAAACACGTGGAAAGGAGTTTCTCACTGACTTCCTGGCTTTTATTTCTAGCTTCCTGGCAAAATGGCAACATCATCCCATCTAAACTGGCTGATTGTGCGGAACTGCAACTCGTTCTTGCTGAAGAAGCGTGACATTCCGAAGCCCTTCAGCACAGTGAGTATCGCAAGCTTCCCGGAAAGCTTTTCATTCTCACAGACTCTTGTCGGGTTGTTTTCCAGGAGCGCAACAACCTCACGAACCTCAGCTCGTACAGATACAGCGGCCTGGTGCACCATAAGACGCTGGCTGTGGTGCCGGCCGACAAGAAGGGCTTCACGGTGGTGTACAAGAAGAACAAGCTTCAGAACAAGCCGGCCAAGAGTCTGGTGAAGGTGACCATGAAGTCCGGCCCCAGGCGCTCGCTGCACAAGCTGAAGAAGACGCTGCATGCCCAGAAGTACCGCAAGGACCTGACCAAGGCCGCTCTGAGGCGCGCCAGCGCCGTTCTGCGTTCCCAGAAGCCCACGGACACGAAGAAGGCGAAGAAAGCCAAGAAGGCTGAGTGAATGTATTCCCGGGATCAGGAATTAATAAAAGGCACTCAGTGGAAGTGAAAAAACATTTTTTGGCGGTTTTTCATATTATATTCTCTTCTCAAATTTCTTAAATACAGTTTGAGAGCGTCTTTCGCTGGACTTGGAGCAAGAACAGTTCCTCGAATCCCAAGACTCTGAAATGAAAGACGAAAATAATTACTTTTCTGAAAATTTCCGGGAGGAAAATCAGTGAGAATAAGGAAGCTTCAGAAGTAGCAAAGGTAATCGTCACAGTGTTCTGCGATCTTGGTGGTTAAATCTCATCATTTTGTGCTAAAATTACAAGGAAATCAGTGAAAGATCTTACCGACTCATTCCTGGCCACATTGGAAATCTTCCTGACCATCCATTCCGTTTGCTTCCGGATGATTTCACTGAGTTTCACTGCAAAGATGAGAAAAGTCCATTAGGATTCAGCAATGATGAATAGACAGAATAGATTACATATTGGGGGCTTCAGAGTAGCAAATAAAATTACTTCATTCTCTATCAGAGATCTTGGTGGGTATATCATCAGAAGAATCGGAGAAATGAGTGAAGAAGCTACAAAAACTCACCTCTTAATCTGCCATTAGATTGCCTGCCTCATCGTCCGGGAAGCTGAAAGACAAATGAGGTTAGAACTGATATCGTTCACTTTCTACCAAATTTCTGCTAGTCTCATATTATTCAGTCATATGGGTGATGAATATAGTCATCAAGTAATTCAGTCGCCATACTCATCATAAGAATTGAAAGCAATAAATGGGAATTTATGAGAATAATTGATTTTGCACGTGGTCTTCAGGAACACATTCATTTCTCAAGTATTCTCTATAAATCCAATGAAATAACGTTACAGCGTTGTAGAACAGGTGTTAAAGAACAAATTTAATTGTTTCTTACCTTTCTCGGTGGGAATTTTCTTGAGAAAATCACATTTTCTCTTGAGCTCTGCTCCTTATCCAACTCCATGGCGTCGAAAAGTGCGGCTTCCAGTGCTGCCAACATGCGGATAACAAATTATTTAGTACAACTATAATTGCATGCCAGTTTGAAGAAGAAAATTTCGTGTTGCTTGCAATCTCGCGATTTTTTCACAAATAGTCCTGAAAGCCGTGAAAATAGCCATAGGCTCCACTTCCAAAGTTAGTAACACAGTACCAAGTAGAACATGGATGAAGAGGAGTACGGAAATGATGAGTGAGTATCTCGGAAATCTTTGTTTTCACAACCTAACCTTACAATGCTTTGTTTTGATGTTTTGAGACTCCTGAAATACTCTAAAACCCCATATTTTGCGCCTTTCCAGCGTCGGTGGGGATGATTTCGATGATGTGGATGATGATGACAACATTGATGATCTGAATCAGGACGAGGATGTGGACAACATTGAGATCTTGACTCCTGGACAAGCGGGTGGTGGAGTTGCCAAATCCAAGCGAATCACCACGAGATACATGACAAAGTACGAGCGGGCGCGAGTCCTGGGAACCAGGGCGCTGCAGATCGCCATGTGCGCCCCCATAATGGTGCAGTGGGAGGGAGAAACGGACCCTCTGCAGATCGCCATGAAAGAGTTGAAGCAGAGGAAGATTCCCATCATCATCCGACGATACCTTCCGGATCACTCGTACGAGGACTGGAGCATCGACGAACTGGTGATCACAGATACATGAAGGCTAATCGATTTATTAAAGGAGCGTCACACGATAAAACACGGCGTTTTGGGTGGTCAGGAGAGCGTAAAAGAGGAGCTCTCGCGGTTGAAGCTCATCCTGTCCATCACTTTGACGGCTTCTGCGTCCACACGGCACATGGCTTGGAGGATGGCGGCGTTGAGACCGCAGTCTGAGAGGTTTTCCTGGCCGAAGACCTGGTCGGACGCCTGCTTCTTGTCCTTGTCTTCTAGGATATCTTGGATAAGCGCCTGAGAGACTTTCGTGAACGCCAGGCTGCTGAGGTTGTTGGCCATCGTGGCGCTAAAGTTGTCCTCCGTAGCGCTATGCAGAAGATTGCTGAGATATGGCAGGACATGCGGCAGCAGGACACCACTCAGTTCCACACTGTGGTAGTTTGTCTCCTCCAGGCGCACTTTCGACGAGCGCACCTGTAAACCGCGCAGAGTGGCGCCCAGGAAGGCCACAGGCGAGAGCAGTGTGGGCGGAATCCCCGCCAGGCGCCCCACATTCGTCACGATGCTCTTGCAATTGAGCAGGTAATTAAACAGTGCAGCGCATTCGGCGCCCTCGATCAGTAGCGCCGACTGATCGCCAAAGTCACTCTCGCACTCCTTCTTCTGCTGTCGCTGGGCGCTTCTGAGGCTGATCTTCTTGATCTCGCTCGCGTCCACGCCCAGGTTCTCCAGCCATTCCTCCTCGTCCATGTCGTCGTCCGAGGGCTCTTCCTTGACCTCCTCGAAACCCCCAATCGAGTCTGCTGGCGGCTTTTCGGGAGTCTCGTTGGCTTTGCTCTTCAGCGGCTGACGGAATACGATCTCTTCATGCCGTAGCGCTGCCCTCATGCCTCTGGACGAGGGTGTAATGATGGCGTGGAGCTCGGGACAGCCACCGATGCCGGCAGCCCGGAAGAGAACAGTGAAACTGTTCGCACAGAGGTAGAAATACGGACATTGTCGGGCTCTCAAGAGCTGAAAGACAGATCGGAAGCTCTCTGTCCACTGACGACTGAGTGCATTGATCTCTGTGCTGCCTAGTGGATTACACGACGAGTCCTGGCGCGCCGTTCGCGGGTAGAGCGTGAGCCAGGGCAGGTGAGGATGCTGCCAATAGAGCGTGCTTTGGTGGAAGAGCGCTCCTGGCGAAATATCCAGGCCTGTGGACGTTGTAGCTGGATCGATGCCTCTTATAAAGGACGTTAGGCCGCTGGCTTCCTGGCTGGTCTTCAGGTTCCCCGCGAGGATGGGCTTGGGCGTGAGCAGCCTGAGTCTCGTTTTAATACTCCAATCAACTGGAAGATACTTGTACAGTTTCTCCAGCGGTTCTTCCTCTTCGCTGTACCACTGCGCATTGTCCAGGAAGTTTTTGCTCTCAAGAGGTGCTTCTAGATTTGCATTTGATGCTTTAGGAATCTCAGAATTGTGTAGGAGTTGGAAGAGAGTGTCTTCTTCAACAACTTCGCTCTTAGCCTTCTTCGCGACGCTCTGGCTGCATCTGCAATCACACAATTACAGGAATTAGTGAATTAGACACATCATCTCAATATCCTTTCCAACTTACACTGCGAAAGGGTTCTTCCTTTTGTCCTGGATGCTTAATTTCGGAGAGGAAGTTGGCTGGTCGAGTTCTTGCTTCTTGATGCGTGCCTGCAAAGCTTTCTGTTTCTGCTTCAAACGGAGGATTTTCACCAGTTCGTCCGGGTGTTTCCACTCTGCATTAAGAGGCGCAAGACCAGACATGATTATTACTTAGGAAATCCTCCGGTTTCCCAGGATTTGTTCAGAAATAAAGCCCAGCGACGCGCGCACAACAAAACGTCACTCTTATGTGCGATTTCTGCTTCTTGCCGCCAGGTGGCGAAAAAGGACGAGAAAAATGTTTCAGGAAAATTGAAAATTCTTAGCGTTTCCTCTATTTTACAGTATTCTTCTACAAATTCAGCAACGAAGCACTACTTCAGGATGTAACTGTTGGGCCAATCCATGATTTTCGGGAAGGTTCGCACTGTTTCCGGATCCATCTTATCCAGGCGCTCCGGAACCTTTCTGGGCGACGGGATCTGATTCGAGATGTTCTCCAAGATGTCCTTAGGGATGTTGCCATCCTTGAAGAGATGCAGTCTCTGCATTGTGTGTCGCCTCTGGAGATTTCCTCGCATTGCAGTGTAAACTGCCTTCTTAACGATCTGCAAATCCCGGAATTTATTCCTTTCACATTTCTTTCAACTCGCAAATCTAATTTCATACCATTGTGGGGTCCTTCTCGTGCAGCTCCCACGCCAGTGTCCAGGAAGCCCCTCCCGGATAGCCTGTGTGGTGGAAGTATACGCGTTTTCTCCATTCTTCACCAGGAAGAGCGATTTCCTTGGTGTTTATCGCCACTACATGATCTCCACTCTCATCTAAGAAGAAAAGAAAGAATTAAGTGGATTTTGTAGTGAGGAAAGTCGCCGGAAACCTACTCATTGGGTGGTAAATGGGCTTGTGAAGCCCCAATAGATACTTCCGGAGCAGCTGTGCTGATTCAAAGGGATTCTGCCAGGTGCAGTCAAATACATGCCAGGTGCGAGCAAAAGTCGCCCATTGCTGGAAAGAATAAAAAGAAAAGGAGGAAAATACAATGGAAAATGAGAAAATGTATCACATAACCTAAAAGAAGGACTTCTCACCTGAACTCTCTGTGTTGCTGACATTCTGCACGATAAAAGAGCCCAGTTTATCAACACGAGAATAAGAAATGAAGAAAATTATATTTATGTGTATTTCAGTGGAAAATCACGAATTTTCCATGCCGGAGAAATCACACTGTTGTTCCTGAAATTTCCGGTACGCAGCGCCACTAGTCTTTGTTTTGATTTTGCGAGTGTAGCGTGTGATCTGTTTTCCTCTCGATTTTTCATTAGTTTTCCACGAAAATACATACCTTCCGTGCCGTTGAAGTTTAGCGGTGGTGAAAATGGAGGACAGCGGGGCGATGGAGAAGAAAAAGGAGCACAGGAAGAGGAAATCAGGTAAACAATCTTATTTTTTGTCCGGTTTAACCTCACATGGTCGTCGTTTTCCAGGTGTGAAGGCGGAAAAGAAGAAAAACAAGGGTAAATCCCAATCCGATGGGTTGACTGAGCGTCAGAAGAACCCGAAAGCCTTCGCCATCAATTCTGCCCAGCGGGCTGAGCGGAAGTTCCGCAGGAAAGAGGATTTGACTGCGAAGAAGCAGCACATTCCGCTAGTGGATCAGACTCCGGACGAGCCGCCGCCCTTTCTTATCGCCGTCGTGGGGCCACCGAAGGTGGGCAAGTCCACGCTCATCCGGAACTTGATAAAGAGCTTCACGAGGACAAATGTGACGGAGATTAAGGGCCCCATCACGATTGTCACGTCAAAGAAACGACGAATTACGCTGATTGAGTGCAACAACGACGTGAATTGCATGATTGACATCGCAAAGTGTGCGGATCTCGTGCTGTTGATGTGCGACGCGAGCTTCGGATTTGAGATGGAGGTGTTTGAGTTCCTCAACATCTGTCAAGTGCACGGAATGCCGAAGATAATGGGCGTGTTGACACATTTGGACGTTATCCGGAATGCGAAGGCACTCAAGAGGAGGAAAAAAGAGCTGAAGCACAGATTCTGGACAGAAGTTTACAATGGAGCGAAGCTATTCTACCTCTCTGGGCTGCTGCATGGAGAATATTTGAGGAATGAAATCAAGAACCTGGGCAGATTCATCTCTGTGATGAAGCTGAGGCCGCTGTCGTGGCGCGGGGCGCACAGCTACATCCTGGCAGACAGGATGGAGGACATCACGGGCACTGAGGAAATTCGGCTGAATCCCAAGTGTGATAGGCACGTGGTTTTGTATGGATATGTGCGCGGAGTGCCGCTCAACAAGGAGTTTATGGTGCACATTGCTGGCTTCGGAGACGTGCGGATAGATGAATTGAGTGCCTTGGCTGATCCGTGTCCTCTGCCCACTGGAGAGAAGAAGAGGAGTCTTTTAGAGAAGGAGAGGCTTCTCTATGCGCCGATGTCGGGCGTCGGAGGGCTGGTTTATGACAAGGATGCAGTGTACATCGATCTGCAAGGCTCGCATAGTCACCAGGAGGTGGAAGAGAACGAGGAGCAGCGTGAGATTGTAAATGCTTTCATAGAGAAGAAGGAAACGTTAGATGTGCAGATTGAGAACCAGGAATTCAAGCTGTTCTCCGATGGAGAAGCTATCAAATCGCATGAGTTCAGAGACAATGCGGAAGAGAATGACGATTCTGAGGGTTCTGAGAGCGAAGAGGACTCTGGAATGGAGGATGAGGAGGAGGAAAAAGCCGTGGGCTGGACAGGAGACGACCAGGAGAGTGAGAACGACGTGGAGAATGAGGAGTCATCAGACGATGAGGATTACGATGAGAATCCCTCTGGCCTCGCCTGGCGCGAGGGTTTGGCGCAGAAGGCGAGAGACGCTTATCTGGATCGCCAGGCGAATTCCCAGAATGTGATGAAACTGGTCTACGGCGTGTTTAGTCTGAGCCAGAAGAGGATGGAAGGCAGAGAAGAGGAGGAAGAGAGTGAAGACGATGAAGGGGATTTGTTCAGAGTCGTCAAGGAGAAGCAGACGAGCGTGCAGCGAGAGCGTCAAGTGCAGGATCGCGATGAGTGCAGCTTCTTCGAGGGACACATGTCGGGGTTGCGAGACTGGATGCTGGAGGAGAATAAGGGCATCTTGAAGAACTGTTTCGTGACTGGAAAGTGGAAGGCTTCCGAAGATGCTGAGGAGCTTCTCAAGTTGGACGACTTGAGTGACGATGGCAGTGAAGTATACGGGGATTTTGAGGATCTGGAGACTGGAGAGAAGCATGAGCAGCCACAGGAGGACGAGAAGAGTGAAGTGAGCCAGGAGAAAGATGAGGAAGCTGGGCAAAAGAGGAAGTTCAGTCGCATCGAAGAGGCGAACATGAGCAGACGCGAATTGATGGCGAAAAAGCTGAAGCTGAAGGAGAAGTTTGACGCGGAGTATGACAATCCGGAGAAGGATCACAAGATCACGGGCGATCATGGCTTCTATGACAACTGGAAGGCGGAGACGCAGCGCCAGGCGCAGCTCAACAAATCCGAGTTTTCCACGCTCGATGAGGACTTGCGAGTGCAGATTGAGGGCTTCCGCGCCGGCATGTACGTCCGGATGTCTTTTCGTGGTGTGTCTTGTGAGTTCGTCCAGCACTTTGACGCCACTTATCCCGTTCTGATCGGGAGTCTCAACATGATTGAGCAGAATGTGGGCTTCGTGACGTGCAAGGTGAAGAAGCACCGATGGTACAAGAAGTTGCTGAAGACCGAGGATCCGCTCATCCTCTCGCTCGGCTGGCGGCGCTTCCAGACGCGTCCGATCTACGCCAAGATCGAGGACAACCTGAAGCATCGCTTTCTCAAGTACACGCCCAATCACGTGACGTGCAGCATGACCTTCTATGGCCCCATCACGCCACAGAACACGGGCTTTTTGGCTGTGCAGACGGTCACGCAGGACACGGAGGAGCTGAAGAAGCTGGGCTTCCGCATCGCGGCCACGGGCTGCGTGACGGAGATCGACAAGTCCACGCAGATCATGAAGAAGCTGAAGCTGGTCGGCTATCCGTACGAGATCAAGAAAAACACCGCCTTCATCAAGGACATGTTCAATGGAGTCCTTGAGGCGGCCAAGTTCCAGGGCGCCAAGATCAGAACAGTGTCCGGCATCAGGGGAGAGATCAAGAAGCCGCTGCGCAGCCCCGAAGGCGCCGTCAGGTGCACTTTCGAGAACAAGATCCTGAAGAGCGGTAAGTAATTCGATGAATTTGATAATTTTTGGGGATTTCACGGGTTGTCAGACAATTTTGTCAGAGCTAGAAAAGTTGGAATTAATTCGGCTTCTCAGGAATCGACCTTGCTTATTTCAAAGTCAGTAAATTCTGCCAGATATGAAGGAGAATACAAAAAATATCGCGTTGAAAATGCGATAATGAGTGTGGAACATAACGGGTTGTCCAGATGTTTCTACTTGGGATGGCAAAAAGGATGCCAACGACACGCGGTGTTCCCAAGCGGTCCCCCATCCAAGTACTGACCGCGCCCGACGCTGCTTAACTTCGGTGATCGGACGAGAACCGGTGCTTTCAGCGTGGTGTGGCCGTTGACGAGGGAAGATCATCGCTTTGCCTGGTCATCGCGATATTTCGTAGCGCTTTTCTCTCCCTTTAATGACTTTCAAGCATGCTTAGTGAACAATGGATATCGTTTATGATCGAATTAGCACATTTCCCACGAGAAATGCGCAATTGAATATCGCGATGACCAGGCAAAGCGATGATCTTCCCTCGTCAACGGCCACACCACGCTGAAAGCACCGGTTCTCGTCCGATCACCGAAGTTAAGCAGCGTCGGGCGCGGTCAGTACTTGGATGGGGGACCGCTTGGGAACACCGCGTGTCGTTGGCATTCTTCCTTTTTGCCATATTTCAAACGCCGCTCTTCTTTTGCAGACATTGTCTTCTGCCGCACGTGGTTTAAGGTCGATGTGCCGCGGTTTTACGCTCCTGTCACGTCGCTAATGCTGCCGCTGGGCCAAAAGTCACAGTGGAAGGGCATGAAGACGCTGGGCGAACTGAAGAGAGAGCGCAACATTCGCGCCGTTCCCAATCCTGATCATCTCTACACGCCAGTGGAGCGCAAGGACAAGGCTTTCAGGCCTCTGGTGATTCCGAAGGCGCTGCAGCGCGCGCTTCCGTACAAGGACAAACCAAAGCTGCTGCAGAAGCCCGACGCAGTGGAGCGCGTGGCGGTGATCAGGACGCCGCAGGAGCAGAAGATCGCGCAGCTGATGAAGATGATCAAGGCGAACTACAGCCAGAAGCAGAAGAAGGATAAGGAAGCAACCGCCAAGCGTGTGGCGGCGTTCAAGAAGGAGAAGCAGGCGGAGGAGATGCGGAAGCTGAAGAAGCAGAAGGACGTGCGGAAGAAGGTGTGTCGAAGCATGAGCAAAGCCAAGAAGTCGAGCGAGAGGAGCAAATAAAAGTGCGATCCTTTGTGGTGATGAAATGGTGGGATTTTATATTGAAAATCTTTAATCTCGGTATGTATACAATAATACATGTGTGTATAATTTAGAGATTAATTACAATATATAGAATTGTTTTGATACAAGTTTCTGCAGTGATGCCATTAGCATTTGTTGAATTTCACTTTTGTGGCCTGAAAATCTACTCTCTTCACAAAATATTCTTCTATATGTACAAGAGGGAGGCGCGCGCTGAGGGCGCGGCGCTCCCGGAGCGCCCGCCATACGGGGGCGTCTTTGAGGTTCTTGGGGAGATATTCCAGTGGATTAATTAAGTTATTGGTATTCCCTCAGTATTTACACTCTAGCTCAAGTGATGCTCTATAAGTAGCGTTAATCTCTAGTGATGCTGCCGCTTACGGACTGCCCTGGCTGTCGTCGCTCAGATACGTTGTCACGTACGAGTCCGTACTGTCCGGATGGTGGCCCCCGTCCATCGGGGGCCCATTCATCAGCGGCGGACCCTGCGCCGTCATTCCACTCATGTCGTAGCCGTGCATCTGCGGAGAGCAGCGAATGAGTGTCTGGGCCAGCGAGAGGAGGGAATTGCGACTCACCTGATTGACGAGGTGCTGGAAGGCGGGCGTGTGCTGGTTCACGGCGCCGTTGCTGTCCAGGTCGGAGTGTAAGGCAAAGTCCGTGAGAGCCTTCCAGGGCGGCTGGTACGCCGTCACTTCCAGGCCGTGAAGGTTGAGCGGCGAGTCGTGGCGCACCGGAGAGCTGGCCACCATCGGAATTCCTTGCATGGCTCCGTAGCCCATTTTACGGCCATCCTACGGAAAAATACTTCTCCAATTAGATTTTCGGTAGGATTGAGTCCTTTTCGCATATTTTTTTTTATCTCCCTCAAGGAAATGTTTGATAGAAATAATTGATTCACATTCTTCTAAATTGCTTGGTTTTCCATGGATTTATTTTTTGGAATCGATTCAGACGAAAAGTGCTTTTCAGACGTGAGACCCTCAAGTAAATTACCTTCTCCTGCTGCATCTGCAGCTTCATCTGGATGGTTTTCTTCTTGTCTTTGCAGCGCTTGTTCTGAAACCACACGCGGATGACGCGTGGCGACAGGCCGGTCATCTCCACGAGTTGCTCCTTCATGAGGGCGTCGGGGCGCGGATTGGCGTTGTAGCAGGTTCTGTTGGCGACAACAACGGCGAAAGGTAAGTCATGGTGCGTCAGAGGAAAGTGTGCCTGGCGCCAAGTCGCGAATTGGCCAGGATGGAGGCACAAAGCCACACAATTTACACCTGTTTCACTGAGTTCGTCATTGTGAAAGATTCTCTTGTGATTCGGCGTGGAAGAAGATGATAAACAAATCTTTTTGTGCATTTTTTTTCGCCTAAGCACTGCTTAAGATCATCATTTGAGGAGAAAATTAACGGATAAATGCCTCAATTTGGGTGAGGTTATTTCCATGCTGCGCTCCTTTATTCATGGTCATATTTGGGCAAAAAAGGCAAAAAATTATGGGTAATTTGGGTGATGTTTGACTGCGAGAGACGCGGTAGAAAATCTCTGACAATTACGCAGGGGAAAAAGTGTAATTTTCACCAAACAAGACGCAATGAGCGAGATAACTCACCTGAGCGTGTGGAGCTGCTTCTCGTTGAGCACCGTCCGGACTCTGGTTGGCTTCCCATCGCCCGATGGGCCGCTGGGTCTCTTCTCGCGGATGCTCTTGTGCGAGCCAGATTCACTTCCAGAGTCTGTCAACATCGTAAAACAATTTGCCATTGAAGCGGGACATAAATTAATTTGAGATAGCTACAAATTGCTTCTTTAGTATCTTATATTCAGCGCAATAATTTCATAAATCCATCCAATGGTTGTTTTTCCTTCCTGGAGTGGAATTTACAATGCGCGATACGGAGTGTGATTGATTTGAGAATTTTCCTATGGGAATATTTCGTTTGATTGGTGCGTTTTTGCTTTGGTAAAAGAGTGAAAATTGATAATTGAATTAGCAAATTTGTATGGAATAAAAAATACACACCAAAATTGAGGTGTGAAGAACAGAAAGTTACGTAAAAGGGCAAAATATTGAGTGTAGCTTAACGGCTAAAATTTGTTAATTACTCGTGGGAACTTTTGAGCTCTTCCCAATCCATATTAATTATTATTGTATTTCGGATGGCGGTGAATTGGAGACTCAAATACGAATTTCTTGGAGAAACACAAGGAAGTCAAACTGCATTAATTGATATTCAGAATTGCTATGAATCATCATTTATGGCTGAAAAGCTGACTCGATAGTATCCCAACCTATCGCGACAATAGACGATCTTGCGCAATTTTAAGCCACACCTCAAAACAGAAAAAATTATGAGCTAATTAAACTTCAATTGTCGGCTTCTTCGCAATCTCGATGGCAAACAACGCTTTTTTGTTGTGGAGAGAAGAAGAAAAGAATGGGAAATCTCGTACAACAATCAGTGACGAGAAACATGAATTGACAACACAAAAATTTATATTACGTTATCTATTATCGATTGCGGGTGAATTGGCCAAGAGGGCAGGACAAAAAAAAGAGAAACATTTTTTCTTGTCACTCAATCGAGGTGTTTGTTTTGAAGGAGAAAAAGACAAAAAATCGGCGGTGGAACATCAAAAGGCCTAACAAGAAGTGGAGGAGTCTCAATTTCGCCGTGTGCTCGCTGGAGTTCTGCTCATTGGGAAGTGCGCGATTGATCATCGCCATCCGCACGACGGCGGTAACAAGACAAATTCGATGTGTTTTCCCGTCTTATCGGCAATCGAAACCATGCGGCTCAACAAGTGCCTTATCGTGGCGAGAAAATCAAACATCCCATTGAAAAAATGGCAAAAAGGAGGAAAAGAAAAATGAATCAGTGTCATATCGCTTAGGAAAACACTTCCCGCGCACTGCAAGGTGCTTTGCCGCCAAAGGAAAGTCATTTCCAGCCCCCGCGCGCTTGTTTTCCCTCCACTGTCATTTCCACCGATATCGAGAGGCTCTCCGGAGGGGAAAAATGCGCCTAGAGCACAAAAGATTACAAGCAACAACAGTGCAAACAACTAATTTCCCCAGTTAATTGTTGATTTTAATCACAGCACAATTCGAACCCAATTGATTACTCTTGGTCTCTTGAGATTCTGGCGAGTTCGGCGTGAGAAAATGGGGCGATCATGGCTTTCCTCTAGCAAATTTGAACGTGAAATCTTCAAATGTGACCACAGATTTCTTTCGCATCTGTTTTCCGGTTTATGTTGCTATGTTAACTTATGCAGATGTGAGACATTCCTAAGAATTCTAGAACAATAAATGCTGGATGATTCTCACTTTATGAGAGATTTTTTCAAAAAATGTTATCCACTTTTGTTTCTTAATAGTTCAAGCCCGAATGAGAAATTGATTTGTGTAGAAAAATTATGATCTTTTTTGTGAATAAAGAGCAATTATCATTTGCAGATTGTGTGAAGAGGGAGAATATCAAATGCCAATCTCAGTGTGATTTCCTCTCAGACGCGCATCTTCGGCCCCGAAAGCTCGAGACGCGGAGAGAGACTTCTGTGGACTCGAGTGATTATCGGCATTAGCCAGTGTCCACCGCGGTGCGAGTGGGTGGCCTTCGTGTCGCCGCGGACGGCGATGCGTAACAATAGATTACGACCGCAGATAAAGACGCGCGCGCCTGAGGCTCGCACGCTCATGACTTGGATTTGAGTGCAGAGCGAGTGCATCTGTGTTTATAGTATTTAATTATCTAGTTAGACGGTCAGAGTCGAAAAATGGAGTCCCGTTCGCGGACACTCACAAAAGATGCGCAGGCGAAAAAATATTTGAACTGCACATTAGGTGGACGCTGGTAAAAATTGTACAAATAATAGCGAAAAAATTTAAGCTCACTGGCTTAGGCGAGACAGATTTGCTGGCGCTTTGTCAACAGTGTGAGCATTTTTCTCGCTTCCTCGCGTTGGCGCGTAAGTGAGACATTTTCATATCTTCGATAGATTTTGCGATAAAACGCAAATTGCTAATTAAGTGGAGATTTGCTGATAGATATTGGTGACATATTAAGCGGGAAAATATTCAGCAAATTGCACTGAGATAAGATTGAATCCTGTTGGGAAAGTTGAAGACTTCGGAGGAGTTGCAATTTCAATTACATCCGTATTCGCGTTTCTCGTGAAATTTATAGAAAAGTATACTGAAAATCGCCACTCACCTGACATCGAACCGAGCTCACTGGAATGATTGTTATTGCTTAAATTTGTATTATTGTTGTTATTGTTATTACTTTCTAACGATGGGGGAACAGTACTTTGGGCGCTCTTTTCTATCACGTCGTGATCCTCTTTGCAGTACAGAGAACCGCCGTCTCTTAAAGCGAACTCGTCTCCTGCAAGTGACAGAGATCTCAATGTCAGCTGGGGCGTCACAATTTGGGGTTGATTTATATTCACCTGGTATTAATTGTCGGGCACATGCTGAACAGCGAAAACACTCAATATGATAAATTTTTGTCTTTGCCCTCATTACGAAGTCATTTTTACTAAAAGAACTACCACATTTATCACATTTTGTTCCAAATAACCTGAAATGATATGCAGAAAGAGGAAACGGTCAGTGGACTTGTGATTGTCATGTTTAATTTAATAAGTCAAATTTTTACACGGTTATGCAGAGAATTTGCAGCCAATGAAGAGGAATATTGAGGAAAATATTTAAATAATCTCTTTTAAAATTCTACTACGATCGATTGGAATATTATTTTATCGTCGAGTCCAGATTAAAGTGTTCATTCCAATTCAAAGAAAAGAGTAATATTAAGTGAAATGAAACAAAGAATTGGCAATGAACAAGAAACATTTGATGTTTAGGGTGATGATGCTAAGAATTAAAGGATATTTGACAGAATAAGCAGTGTGAATTGAATTAAAACTTATACATATGGATTGACAATTTTGTACACTTTGCGGATATTGTAATAAAATTATTGTCAGTTTAGGCGTGTGATTAATTATTTTTCAAAATGGGTTTCTATGAAAATCTTCCTTAACCCTATGGCACAAGACCTTGCAATTGATTTTACAGAAAATTCAATGAGTTTTACATTGTGGAACCGACGATGTTTGGCTACAAATTCTGCGAATAGCCGCGGACTTGGCACACGTCTTACCTAACGTAATCTCTCTTGCAGTATGTTTTGCCTTCGCGGACGAAACACGTGCAATTCTCATCTAGAAATTGGCGACACTCCTGGCATTTGAGGCACGCCGCGTGCCACTCGAGGTCCGGCGCGACCCGCAGAATATGACGATCGTGGATTTGGCCGCCGCAGCCCACGCACAGGGACAGTCGTTGTTTCTCTGCGGAAGAAAGGAGGACAGTATCTCGGTGAGTTACTGGAAGTTGCTAATGCACGCCAGAGATGAATAAATAAACATGTGTCATTTCGAGAACAATTCCGCCGAGAGCCGGCGACGAGATAAAAATACTATTGGCATATTGGCAAAGTCGCCGCGTGGTTGCGATGTGTGTGAATTATTCATTAGGGCGGAGCGCCATTTCTTGTGTATGTGACGCTGATCCCGCCTAGAAGTGAACTTTTCCCACTCTGTCGTCGGAAATCTGTGTGTCTTCGACACGCCGAAAATTCACTCGACATCCATTTGACATGAAATGGATGGCGCGATAAGGAAATTGCGGCACATAATTGCTCATCTGCCGATACAGGTGAGTGGTGATTTTCCAGCTTTGTCTCCTGGGACACGACGCGCTTGCATTATTTATGAGAATAGTTTCATTTGCGCCGAGACACTGAAATACATTTTGGATTGTGACAAAATATCAAATACTCACGAACTTTTCTATTTATGAGCGAACTTTGTAGGGAGATTTAAAAGGCATTATGTGAATTTGAATTGTGAGAAAACGGACGCGAACGGAAAGTTTTACCGGCTCAAAACTGCCCCGTGTCAATTCTAATCCACTAAAGAGCAGTGATGCTAGAATTCCTAATTTATATAGTGTAAACAGTAGTTTATTTAATTTTTACGATTGTCTATTCCTGTAAATCAAGCACACAACGCAGCGCAGTTTCATAAAGTTCTCCTGGCGAGAGCACTATTATCGCATATTTATGGTCAATTAACTGGCACATAAATTGGTGTATGAGGAGGAATTATACTGTGTCAGATCAAGTTCAATAATTTACTTTTATTGGCAAAAGTGGGTAAAATGGCCGTACTTGGGCCTCCCTATTCTATTTATCGCCGCAAATGTTTTATTCAGCATGGCAAGAGATGTTGCAACATTGTTGGCCGGAGAAGTATTTTGATTGTTGCTCTCAATGGCGACTCCTTTTGCAGTCATCCAGTTGCTGAAGACCGAAAGAAGCGACAAAGCAGAATGCTTCGCCAGCGACCAATACAATAATAATAATTCAGCGCGTGAATGAGAGAATTCCTAGCCCTTCAATGGCGGAGGGAGTTTTTCCTTTTGCCGGGCCTTTTGTGCGCTCACGAGGAATTCCTCCGGCTTGCGCGCCTCTTTTGGGCATATTTAACCATGATGCTTCTCACCCTATCGCCAGCCTCTTTTGTATAGTTGCTGCTCGCGGTTTTTGCTCTATAAAATCAAAATGGTCAAAGGAATAAACTGGCGGCGAATATAGAATAAGAGGCGAAATAAATAAAATTTATCTGGTGGTAATTTTCTGTCTGAACTTGCGTGTAACCCGCTCTCAATCCATATGCAAATCTCTTGGCGCGTTTTCTCCTATACATATATATGTTACAAAAGAGGACGGGATGCGTGTGTTGGTTCTCTCTGGGTGCTGTTTTGGGCTTCAATATAAAACTTGACTGACCCTTATCGTGGCGGTGATCTGCAAAGGAAGGCTTTGCTCCTTTTTGCCATGGAGATAAAATACATTAGCCATGCAGCGCATTTAATAACTACTGTATTATTTTATTATAGGTATTACACATTGAAAAGCCCGCCATGTACATAATTGGCCTCTTCTTTCTGCCTCTCGCTCTCACATCGCGCCAACATTGGACGCTGCTATGTACAATTTGAATATGAATATTGATGAGGAAGCGCGATCTATGTGGATGGACAAAATGTGAGCTTATCGAGAGACATTGTCTCCTATTTCAGGCTCTTGTGTGCGATTTGATAGTGGGATTGAATCACTGGAAGAGGTGTTAATTCCAGCATAAAGAGATCTTTGCGAAATTTCCCAAAGACAAGTGCAATTTCCTATGCCAAAGTGCAAGGTTGTGCCTTTCTCATGTCTGTCTCATATAAAATATTCCTCGATGAAAAATTCATAATGCGAAATGTCTTTCTTCGTTTTTTTTTTCGTTCAGAACTCCTAAAGTTGTCAAGAATGCATTAAAGCTACAAAAGCTAAAAGGTACATAAAATACATAGTTTACAATCAAAGGTAAGGAGAAGTGAAAAAAGTATAGGTTTAATTAGCAGGTAAATGCAATTTTGTAATGAAATTCAATTGGCTCCGGAATATGCGTTATGAAGAAGGGCGGATACACGATATTCATAATACTTCTCTTGCTCGGCAACTGTCTTCAACGTGTTAATAAGAAAACATGAAAAAATAATTATTGCAATTAATTTTTAGTTGATTTATGTGGCGGAATTAATTTATTATAATTCATAATTTCCCCTCCAGTGATTTTCATCGCGCTCATGACAAAGGAAAGATGCAATTTTGTAGAGAATCTAATAAGACAATGCATACAACATCTCTCATTTGCAATGCAACACTCCTTCCTTGTGATTGTTGAGGTCTTTTGGATTAGTAAATAGTTGGCAAAGACAAAGAGTTTGTCAGTTGAGCGTCTCAGTTTGAAGGCTGCCTCCATAAAAATATCTTAGACAACTTGACAAACTAAATATAATAAAAGCTTCTGTAATGAATAAAGCAAATAGACTTTTAAAGTCATTTATCAATTTATGGAAAATACTTTTCGTGATTAAATTTGAGAATGAATAAATTGGCCTTCATTTACTTGCGCGGTCTCGAAAGAAACAAACCAAATTAACAATGTAGCTTAAATTTAGGATTCAGGAATTCCTAGATAATAAAGTTCGGTATGATTAGAAAGCATTCTAAACTGAGATTTCGCTATTATTTGAGAAATAACATAATAATAAATTATCCTAATTATCTCTCAATTCTCCCATATACATATTTGTGCACACATGGCAATTCTGGTATTACTAGTTCGCACAATTAACATTCCTTGACCTCTGTGCGATCACTGGAAAGCATCTGCTTTGGATTGTCGGCATCCTGAGAGTCGAAAATCCGCGGCACTTGAACCTGAAAAGCGAATTCAGCGTGAATCTGCTCAAGTGGAATGTTTTGTGCAAATATCTGGGGAAATATTGTTTGCAATTTATGATTCTTTTCTACCCAAAACGCGTGAGACATCTCCTGAGAAATCACCCACCCAAAAGAGTGAAATTTATTCACATATGAAATGAACGAAGAAAAACATTGAACAATTTTTTACTCGGGCGCGCGAGAGAGAAGGAAAAAAATATACAATCCCATAATGTTCGAGTGAATCATTGCCGTCAGAGGAGAGAAAAAAACGAGTGTATTCTTATGACTCTCCTTCTTTTGCATGTCTCTATAATCCATTCTCAACTGGTAGCCTCTTGGAGAATTCTTCGTAGTTGTTGGTTCTTCTCTTCTTGTGTCATAGATTTTGTGTACATTTATTTCAAATATTGGAATATACATATCTTCCTCTCCTCCTGCTTTCCTATATGAAGCACATACTATGCGCTGCCTTCTTTTCCGTGTGTACTTTTTATTTAGCATACCGCTAAATGGTTTTATATGGCAACGGCTAAGAACATTCGAGTTGAGGATCGCATTTGGGGATTTTATCACTCCAAAATATTTGAGCGGGGAAAATTTGCGGACTTTCTGCAGTTCTGCCTTGACATTGGCACTGACAAATCCACCTTCAGTGTCGACACTTCCGCCGAGGAGAAGCCACCGGCGGAGGAGCAGAAGAAAGTGCAAAGGGTATCGTGAAATGCGTCTCTGGCTGGATAATAAAATAACCCGTTCATTGGTGAAGATATTCAAATACAACAGCTACACAAACAATTTTTTTTCATTTCGGGATTGTTCGATGCTGTGAATTCCTCTCTTTTTGACCACAAGAGAAGCCGCAAGTTGTTTTTATGCTTTTTTAATCACTTCTTTTTATTTTAACTACACACATTTATATATATATTCCCTTTATTCTCTTTTTTGTTTTATCTCCAATATAAAGGGGGTAAAATTAATTCTCATTTCGACCATAAACCGCTTCTTTTCTGTATTCTTTCTTTTTTTTCTTCTATCACCATCGTCCTTCTCTTTGCCGCGGATCCGCGCGCTCACTTGGACGCTTCTTCTGTTCTTCGCCTCGGTTCGTTCTTAAGTGTACAATTAGAATGCGAGATGTGACAGAAATGAATTCGAGAAGGTGCAAAAGTTCAGAATGAGCCCCATAAAAATTACTCCATATTTATTTTTATTAATTGGTGGACAATATCAATGCGTGAGGCATGTTTTAAGTGGCGCATTTCCCATTCAATATGAGTATTAGCGGAATTTCGGCAATTATTTACCACGAGTCGTTTGTACTTAATGAAAACTGTTGTGTTTATGTGCGACATTTCTCGCTGCTAAAGCCACAATTATTGGCTGATTTCAGAGATCAAAGAGATTTGGGAAAGATCTTTTTATTTCTTACAAGTTTTTTTAAATAACTCAAAGGTATAGAACCACCACTAATGGCATTTTTATTTCACTTTACAGAGACTTGCAAACTTAATCCCTAAATGAAGAATGACATATTGCACTTCTTGCGTGAATCCGGCAATCTTGATGTCTTTGGGAGAGTTTTAGATATTTAAAAGACCTTTCTAAAATGCCCAAGAGCATTAAAATCGGGCCAAAATTGCGGCTTTGCCAATAGCAGAAAGATCAAACACCAAAGTCTCAGTTAATGAGTCGGGAGAAAAAACGCGCGTGTGAAGTTCTTGACCCAACGCGATCAAAAAGGTGTGCTGAGGAAGGAATGCGTGAAGGGGCTCTGGAGATACTTCTAGGAATTTTATCAAATTTTCCGAGAAATCGTCTTGGTATCACTGGCCACAGGGCGAAGAAGAACAGGAGGAAGGAAGCGAGAGAGAGAGAATTGTGATTTGTGACGGTGCGAGAGGGAATCTCCCGATGATTCCACCCCTTTTCTGCTCTTCCAGAAAAGAGAATGGTGCGTGTTTAATATTTCATTAGCGGGCATTTTAAATTGAATTATGAAATGTATTCTCA